ACATTCCCGGCCTCCGCAGCAAGGAACAGACTTTCTTTTCTTGAGGAACGAGTCTGGAGTAACCCCTCGCCTATCGAGGACCTGCTAACTTCCTCCAACCTCAAGGACATTGCTTCCAGTGCCGTCGCTACAGACCTCATGGACCTGGCTTTACCATACTTTGACAGTTTCCCTATGACCGGGGAGGAGATACGGCGGGCTGAAGCTTTAAAAAAGAAAGCCGGAGATGCCCAACCCTTGGTCGTCATTGGATCTACCGAGGATGAGGTGGAGGTTGAGGAACCACCATTGAAAAAATCCCGCCTCAACCCCTCCTCCTCTGGCAAGGGCAAAGTCCCCTCTAAAAGCAGAGGGAAAAAAGCTGGGGAGGCTGAACCTGAAGATGAAGTCAGGGCCTTTGTTCTTGCTGAGACTGGAGCTCCTTGGACTCCTTCCTTCACCAGGGCTGACAGGTCAGTCCTACACTCAGGGGATTCTGTGGTTACAGACCCTTCAGCTGCACTGGCGGTGGCTCGAGGAATGTGGCTCCCAAAGGACGAGGAAGCCATCAGCCAAATGGGGTTGGAGCAACTACTCCCCTCTGCCCCAGTCCGGGCCATAGAGGTTCGCATTGCACCTTCAGAATTATGCTACTATTGCCTGCTTGTGTTTCTATTTATGCTTATATTTGCTTCCCTGTTAAACAGAGTCTATACCACACCATGGCCCTCTGTGCCACTGCTGAAGCTCAATCCCTCTCCATCAAGAAGTTGGAAAAGGATCTGGACAATGCAGAGAAGAGAGCTACTACTGCCTCTACCAATCTGAAGATAGCTTCTGAAGCCAAGGATGCGTATAAAAGGCAGTTGTCAGCCTTTGAGGCTAAGGTGGATTCTCTTCAGGCCGAGGTTCAACGCCTGACCGAGGCTCTTACTACTTGCTTCAAGGCGGGGAAGCAAATGCAGGGGCGCTACTCCTGTCTAGCGCACCTGGCTAGTGCTAAGGCGTTCCGGTCTGGCTATAATCAGGGCTCAGGCCCTAAGACGATGGATCCGGACGCCTTTGACAAGCAGGTGGGGGTGCACTTCCCATATGATGAAGGGCCAGAGGCTTTGGAAGTTGAAATTCGTTTTGCCGAGATGGTGAAGGCACACCTGAAGGGTACTCCTAGCTCCCCTGCTCCTGCGGCTACCTCAAGTCCTAATGTAGTGGATGCTTTTGAATCTACTCTCTTTGATCCGAAGAGGAAGTAGAACTATGTATTTTGTTTTTATGAACAGCCCGTTTTGGGATAATGAATATAACTTTTCGTTTTAGGCTTGCCTGACTTGTTTTTGCTGTATGCTCTTGATATATTTCTCTGACTGGTAATGTGTTTAAATACTAAACATTGTCTTTATACTTCAGATTTATGCTATCCGTGAAAATGCAAGGATTGTGAGAAGAAGGAGATCCTTTTAACAGTTTAGTTGATATCGCAGGATGAGTCACATGGACAATGATTTAACTGTTAAATGAACCTTCCTCGCCTTCTACTTGCCTTTAGTATACATACTCTTTCCTTCTCATGTGTTCCTGATGTGGGGTGGAATATGATGAACTTATGACATATCCGCATACACAAGGTATTAAACACTTGGAGTCCGGAGGAAAGAGTTCTGATCTGAATAGGACACTTAGGGTCCGAAGCTGCCTCGGATACTCAGGATCCGAGGTGAATTATACATTCCCTAGCGTGGAGCCGGAGGGGGGTTTTGTCGAACCGAACACGTAGGGTCCGAGGCGAGATTTTCGCCGAGCCGAACACTTAGGGTCCGAGGCGAATGAATTACTCCCCGACGCTGAGCCCGAGGGGAGGTTTTAAATGACTCACTCCCCGACGCTGAGCCAGAGGGGAGGTTTTGCCGAGCCGGACACTTAGGGTCCGAGGCGAATGAACTACTCCCCGGCGCTGAGCCTGAGGGGAGGTTGTGCCAACCCGGACACTTAGGGTCCGAGGCGAATGAATTACTCCCCGGCGCTGAGCCCGAGGGGAGGTTGTGCCGAGCCGGACACTTAGGGTCCGAGGCGAATGAATTACTCCCCGGCGCTGAGCCTGAGGGGAGGTTTAAATGAATCACTCCCCGGCGCTGAGCCAGAGGGGAGGTTTTGCCGAACCGGACACTTAGGGTCCGAGGCGAATGAATTACTCCCCGGCGCTGAGCCCAAGGGGAGGTTTATTTCATATTCTTCCTCAAATCACTTATTATGAGGCTGAAGACTCAAAAATGATAGGAGGCCAAGAAAGCGAGTAACAGTGGCTGTGAAGTTCTCCATTTGTCAACTTTAGAGACCTGCCTCCACTGATACTCCCTTCTTGGCAGCCAAATGTTGTGGACCGCGCATATATGAACCGCATTTATTCCCTATTTCTATCCGATGTGGGATATAGACTAAATTTTGTCAAAAAGGTCGGTGTAAGGAATGCCTCTGGTATTGAGCTTGACAGCTTTAAATACCAGTGGGCCCTCCTTACACCGTAATTAACTATTTGAATATTCCCATATATACCTCTGGTATTGAGCTTGACAGCTTTAAATACCAGTGGGCCCTCCTTACACCGTAATTAACTATTTGAATATTCCCATATATAACAGAATGTAGCACATACTGTTTTATCGATGTGGGATAGAAAGTTTTAAGCACAGGCCATAATTCATGTGTTTTGTGTCTTGTGTGCTTGTTGGTTTTTGTGTTTGTGTTTTGTTCGTTTTTGTTTTTGTTTTGTAAAAATCATTGTTTTGTGCGACTTGGCATGCGTATAAAAATGCGACTTGGCATGCGCATAAAAATTGCGTAATCATAGAGTTCGTATGACTCCCCATTTTTATAAAAAGAAACAAAAACAAAGGAGAGTGATATTGAATAGAGAAGCAAAATAAAGAAAAGTTTGGCTAACTGCGGACATATTCAGCCTTATTTGTGAAGAACTTATAGCAAAATTGACAAACTTAACTAATGGAAATACCTTTTCAGGTGTATTGCGTTCCAAGGACGCGCAATGGGCCGTCCGCCAGCTTCGGCCAAACGATATGCTCCTTTCCCCACTACTTCGGTAACTCTGTAGGGTCCGGTCCAATGAGGTTCCAGTTTCTTTACATGAGCTGTCTCCTGCTTCAACACCCAATCGCCTACCACAAAACTCCTGATCCTGACGCGTTTGTTATAACTGTTACACACCTGTTGTTGGTAGGCCGCGAGTCGAATTGCTGCTGCGTCTCTCCTTTCGTCCACCAAATCAAGGCTATGTTCGAGTTGTTGCTCATTGTTCCCCTCCAGCACCAAGGATGTCCGAAGGGTTGGGATTATGGACTCAGTAGGAATGACAGCTTCGAACCCATATGCCATAGCAAATGGGCTTTCTCCCGTGGGTCGTCTTGGAGTGGTTCGATAGGCCCAAAGCACTTGAGGGAGATTCTCGTATCACTTTGTCTTCAATTTCTCCAATTTTTTCTTTAAGCACCCGAATATCGTGCGATTAGTTATTTCAGCTTGCCCATTGCCTTGTGGATGACTAACTGCAGCCAACTTTTGCAAGATTCCATGTTCGCTAAAGAATTTCCTTGTACTTCTGTTATCGAGGTTCTTACCATTGTCCATTACGATGACTTTTGGTACCCCAAACCGGCAAATAATGTTGCTCCAAATGAAATGCTTTACTTCTTCGTGGGTGATGCTAGAGAAGGCTTCAGCTTCCACCCACTTGGTGAAGTAATCCGTAGCCAGAAGCACATGCTCCTTTTTGTCCATGGTTTTGGGCAATGGTCCTACTATATCAATCCCCCATTGGGCGAACGGCCATGGATTAGCCATGGCGTGCAAACCCTCGGCAGGTTGGTGCTTTATTGGACCATGACGCTGACACTTGTCACATCGTCTTGAGTACTCCTCGGCATTCCGAGCTAAGTATGGCCAGAAATAACCTTGGGTCAGAATTTTGTGTGCAAGGGATCTTCCTCCGGAGTGGTTTCCACAATCTCCTTCATGAACTTGTTTTAGAATTGTGAGAGCCTCAGTAGGGGTTACACACTTGAGATAGGGACCGGAGAATGACCTTCGGTACAACTGGTTATTGATGATGGCATACTTAGCCGCGGTAAGCCTAAGCTTCCTTGCCTCAGCTTTCTGATTCGGGAGAACCCCTTCCTTGAGGTAGGCTGTTGTTATGTTTTTTGTCCTCTATTTATTTCAAAATGATTGGTTTCACTTGGGCAAGGGTTGGATTATCTTGATAATTATCCAGTCTCATTTACTTTAATTACCCTTATCTTGATTTCCATTTTTCTTTTCATTTTTTACATGTAAAGTTTTAATTCAATGACAGACTCTGATAGGGGAGGTAAATGTTAATTTATCCTTGCTTTTACCGTCACCTATTATTACAACATCTACTTGAAGTACAGTGCCAATATTTACAACAATATATATATATATATATATATTCCTAGCTAAAACTCCTCCTTTTTTCTTTTCTTTTCCGATATGGAATTCACACACCCACTTTGACCTTATGGTGACTTGAACCCTCGACGTTCCAATTTAAAGGTGGCGAAACACCACTAGACTACGACACTTCGTGGTATTTACAATATTTACTTCTCTATTATATTGCTTAATATGTTCACGGACAGTATTACTAATTTTGACCAATGACCTATAGCCTTTAGTATCTAAAGTATATGGTAATGAAAAGACTACAGAACATGGTCTGAACTTCCAGGGAGTTCCCAAGGGATTTTCAAACCACCATGCAATCATACAAGATGCCAGGATAATAGGAGAGGAATCGGTAGCAGCCTTCAAAATAATTACCCACATAAGGTCAAACATATGCAAGGTAAATAAACTAGAGAAATGTTTTGTTTCCAGTTAGAGGCAATGGAAATGTTAAAAGGCAACGGTTTCATGTACGTTAACCACACTGAGCAAAGACAGGCCGGAGACCATGGTTCCCACTAAGGCACACAGAAATTTAGCAGAAATTAAAAGTAAAATTCAAGAAATTATAAATTAGAAAAAGATTTAACCACAAGAGAGATGATTACTGCAAGAAGCATAGATATTATATAATACAATTCTAAAATGGGCTTATTAGTCAACCCAAAATAAAGAGAGATATTTTAACTATATCATTGTATACAAAATATAAATATTAAAAGTAATAGGCAGACTAACCCTTCTATCCTGATGTTGATGAGCAAAATAAAACTCTTGGATGGGCGAAGTGGAGAGAGCTAATTCCCAATTGCAGACTAGCTAGGGAAAAGGACAACTAGCCTACCTTCAACGAAACCAAGCTGTTGACATGGGCACAGTAGATGTTGTTACGGTAGATGATGTCTCTGACATCTTTACCCATCGCAAATGAAGTAACTTCTGCAGTCTTGATGTTGTAAACAATGTAAGTTCTAGATGGATCTGTGACTTGAAAGATGACCAAGTCTCCATTTTTTAACCAGACAAAGGGATACAAATACCTACGCAAAGAACATATCTGGGGATGAAGCATTTGATTAAGCATGTCACCTTCACCTGTCAAGTCAATGTTATAAAGCCTTGTCCACTCACCTGTGTGTAATTCTGTCAAAACCCAAACCTCCCACAAAAATTCCTTTCTTCGAACCATCAAAGCTAGAAAGTTTTCCGTTGCTAAAAAATAACCCCCTTTTTCCTTGAAAATCTTCGGATCTGGAAGCTGGTGCATTATTTCTGCTTCAACATCCAAAGCTAGAAGATAACTACAAGCTCTAGAATTGGGAGTCCAATAAAGATACTCTCCAGCAGATAATGGGGAAGATTCAAATAGATACACATTAGCACATGGAATATGTTTAGTATCAATCAGTCTCCATGCAGTTTCAGCACCCACAGTTAATATTGCACACTTAAATTCAAGGCTGTTAACGCGGAAGACAATGACAACTTTGTACCTCCGGATAGAATGAACATATACTAAAGCAGAACGTGTATCATGAAAAATAGGTCCAACTAACGGAGGAAGAGTCAGTATTTGCTTGGTAATAGGATTTCCAACACGGAATAGAAGGTCATTACTGTCATGAGGGAACAAAACTAAGCCATCACAACTAGCACAAATAGGTCTAGAAAACCCATATCTTAATTCTCTTGTCCAAACATCGCAATTGTTTATCTCCACAAAATGAATCACTTCTGGATGATCTTCATCCCAATGTTGGATGAGGATGCCACTAGTTGATTTTTGAAGGTGTGCATTAATGAATTCAGGGTTGTTGATAACATTACACCACGCTTGGCAAACATATCTCATCACATTGTATAGAATCTCAGCAGGGACAAAAACCAGGATGTTGTATACGACCTCTTCAGGAAGAAAAGGTAAGCTGCCTTTCGTGTTTCTTCTTTTCTTGGGGATGCAATCTACTCCAGCCATCTTCAATTTTAAAAAGGATTAGAAAGGAAAACTGCAACTTCAAAAAGAATTTAAAAATAATGTATATACATAACTGTGATCAATTTCAAAAGATTATAGAATTAAAAAAATAAAAAAATAAAAAAAAAATCCACCAAGTAGACTGTACTATTTTGCTTAGGGCACACCTAAAAAATTAGTAGTATAATAGCTGCACAGAAAGGAATAAATAAATAAGTTTATCTTCACCCTACAATTTGTTTGAGGCATTTCATCGAACAATTCATATGCATAAACATAGATATATATGACACTTGATTTCAACACAAACTATCTCATATCATAACAATCAGAAACTTTATAATAATTTCAACAGAATCTTTGACTAATTAATCAAACAACATAAACACACACACATATATACAACACTATATACAACAGATATGGTATGTGAGAGAGAGAGAGAGTATGCCTCTTTCAGCAGAAGAGAGTGGGCATTGCGATCAGTATAGCCACACCGAACACTGCTCTTGCTATCGATTGAACGGTGAGCGAGTCGAGCCGATCTTCTGGGTCCACTCGACGACGACATACTCAAACCCTCTTCGCCCTTTTCTGAGTCTGATTCCTTTCAATTGTTCGCGGAAGTACCCAAAAGACGAAAGGAGAGAATTTTCATCAATACATATGTCTACTTTTTTAATGGCCATTGACTCGGCTCTGTTCATTCGTTCGGAAGTAAAATATTTTCAAAAAATATTTTTTTTTATCGTTTTTGATGTTTGGTTCTCCTCAAATATTTACAACGAAGAACAAAAATATTAAAATTTAATAAGATAAATTATTTTTATATGTCCCGCTTACAAATTGATTTTTGTAAAATACAGACAAAGTAAAAATTAAAAAAAAAAAAAAAAATTTATCTAAAAAACATATTTTCTAAAAAAAATGTTTTACCTCGAAACAAACAGAGACACAAACACAAACAGAGATATTTGAAAGAATAAAAAAATTTTAGTTGATAAATATTATATATATATATATAATTATTTTTACTCATTTTATCCTTATAATAATGAAAAAGGAAAATCAATAATTTGGAGCTTAAAATTAAATTTTTGTTATATTTGTTTTTTAAAATTAATAGATAATATATTTTAAAGTACATTGAATCACATTTTTTTACACCTTGTATAATTAGAAAATCAAATATGTAAATTTCAAAAAAAATTAGGGACACGTGTCTGAGTAAGAGTCATGTGGAGATGTTCCACAAGTATTTGAATGTCCGATACTATCAGTGTCACCCGTAAGAGGGTTGCCTGCATTAAAAATTTATCTAAAATGTTATATTTGCTGCTCATTTTTTAATGTTTTTGTAATTAAAAAAAAAAAAAAATTACACATGAAATTACTTCCAATTTCTTGTTGAGGTGGGGTTACATCTGTGTGCCTAACTTTTGTACCTTTACCCTCCTTTTCTGTCTGAGATTGCATTATATGTAAATTAATGTTTATTAGTTTAATTTTTGTCCTAATTCATTTACTTTAATTTCCTTTATCTAGATTTTAAATTTTCTTTTTTTTTTTTATCAACTTTTTTTTTTCTTTCTTTTTCAACAACGATGGTATCTAACTAATACACATCCTTTCCAATGCAAACTTAAGACGGCTTACATTGAACTCTTTTCAAACTGTGCAATGGTGAGAACCACACTAGGCTAGAACTTTATCGAGGCAAAACACATGCAAGGTAACCAAGCTTTACAGAAATACTTTAAGAAATAATGAATTAGAATAATAAGATTTAACCGCAAGAAAGGTGACTGCTGCAAGAACCATGGACATTATATGAGGCAATTCTAATGGACTTATTAATCAACCCAAGAAAACGAAGAGAGAGAGAGAGATGTTTTAATTACATCATTGCAGCTACATAATAAAAAAAGAAAATCAAACGAAAAGATTAAATAGCAAGAATAGCATATTGTCAAAGTTTTTTCAACAAAACAAACTTGTAATAGTCAAACTAATCATTATATCATGATGTTGAAATCCTTTAACACGCCCTCTCATGTGTGGTCTTCTTTTGATCCAATATCATGTTAACAATTATCTATTCTAACAACTTAAACTGTTAGATAGGGTATAAGTCAAATATTTAAATCTTTCTGTGTAGGAAAAGAACAAATAACGTACCTTCATCGAAACAAAACTATTGACACGGGTAATTTCAACTAAACCAATCTGATATTTGTTTCTTTTTCTCAACGTAAATGAAATAATTTCTCCGATCCTAATGTTGTAAACAATGTAAGTTCTTAGTGGAATTAAAACACAAAAGATCACAACTAGCACAAATAGGATGAGAGAACTCATATCTTAATTTTCTTATCCGAACATCGCAATTGTTTATGATCTCCCACAAAATGAATCACTTTTGCATGATTCCAGAGTTGGTTGAAGGGGCCATTAGTTGATTTTTGAAGGTTTGCATTAATGAATTCGGGGCTGCTGATAACATTACACCACTCTCGGCAGACATATTTCATAACATTGTGTTGAATCGGGAAAAAAAAAATCAGAATGTTGAATATGATCCCTTCAGAAAGAAATGGTAAGCTATTTTTCGTCTTTTTTCCACTTGAACAAGAAACTGCCTTGAATTTCTTGGAGATACAATTTAATCCAGCCATTTGCAATTTTAAAAAAGGATTAGAAAGAAAAAATGCTTAGATTTGAATATAAAAATGCTTAGATTTGAATATAAAAATTAAAGCCATGAGATACACAATTTATTGTAGTTAAAATCTTTTAAACTTAAACCTAAATTACTCACTTTCACCCACAAGTTTTCGTTTCTAAGCATTCTTTTCCCCTTACATTCCAACATTCTACTTAATTGATCAAGTTTTTCTTCCACACGGTCTCATTTTTTTCATTGACCAAAAACTCACAAACTCATTTATTCCTATAGAAACTTGAAACCTGGCCTTCTATTATGAAAGATGTAGTAGAAGAATACCACTAAGTTGCACCCTTGGTGATTTAGGCCACTCTATTTCACCACCACTAAAATCTCAAACTTAATTAAACTGATCCTAAAGCCGGTGATGAACCTAAAATGAACAAGGAATTTATTTCAATAAGCGCAATCAATAATCAAATATTTGAAAATCAAATATTTGAAAAATATTTTAGTAAATAAAAATTTAAAAATATAAAGCTGGTATGGTATATTTAATGTAAATCAATACTAGTCCTAATTAAGCTAATGGAACATTCTATATCTCAAATAATTCTATTTGTTTTTATTTGTTTTGTATCTCTTTCTATATCTTTTTGTTATATGTTGTCACATTCTCCTTCTCACTTTCTTTTGTGGAGTTTGTTTGACTTGCTGTTGGAACTTGATTATACAAATGAAACTCACCTTATATATAGAAATTCCCATCCCTTATGAACAGCTGGAACAACTAAGATCTAATCTCTAGAAGTCTCTATCCAAATATCTTAAATATTTACACATATATGTAAGATATTTACAAACTTTATTGAACTTCTAATCTTTTAGGTTGAAGAAAATTTTAAAATACAACACTCTTACAAATTTTTACCAACTCTTCAATATTCTAAAATACCCTAACAATCTCCAATGGTTCAATGACAATGTTGGCAACTTTTCTAGAAGGTTTTAGTAGGTAGAATTAATGGCTATGTTAATTATATTGGGATTTTGAATGACTGTTGCACCGCTTTTCTTATCTAGTATCACTCCACTTTCGTTCTCAAGTTGGAATTTTCTTCTAATTCGTTTGGTTAGGATAAAGGAAAAGAAAGGAAATAGAAAATTTAAAAAAAAAATTATAGTTTGGTTAGATAGAAAAAAAAAGTTCTAGAAAATTAAGATTCTTGTAACCTTTTATTTTCTCCAAAATGTTTCCTTCACAAAATACGGGAGAGTTTTATTTTCCCATGAAAGCCTGTCTTTTTATTTAGTATTTCTATTTTATTCAACAACTTCATTAATATTATTTTACCCAACAACTTTATTTTATATTTGGAAAGAATAACAATTTTTTACTAGGTTTCAAAAAATTGGAGTCCACTAACAACTTTATCATTGATAAATTTTTAATTAACTTGACTTCCATTCTTAGTTATTTTTCAATTAATTTAAATTTTTAATTGAAAATTTTATTATTTTTTTAATATATTTTATTACTAATTCTTTATTATTTTATAAAATAATGGTAATTTAGGTATCCAAACTATAATATGATATTTTCCTACAATTTTCTTAAATAAATTTTCATCCTAACCAAATACATACTAGAAAATCACTTTTTTTTTCATTCACTTCACTTTTCTTTTTATTTTCCATTTCTTTTCCTTTCTTGCTATTTCCATCTAACCAAACGGAGCCTTAGAGAAAAATTTTACAAAATGCATTTTCGTGATTAGTGTTAAATATCATAAAGTTCATTTCACAAACTTAAATTGAAAAAGAGAGAATAAAAATAAAAAATAAAAGAAAACGTTCAGACCAACTGCAAAGAGGGTTGATATTGAAGAATTTTTTAATTTCAAAGTTTGGGACATAAATGCTGATGATCTTTTAATATTCACATTGTCAATTTCACAAGTGCATTCTGTGGGGTCTCTCTTGGAGAGAATCTCAATTTGAAGACTCTGTTTGCATTTGTCACGATCGCCAAGCCATGTAAATATTGTCTCCTTTACACCTTATCTTTTCGGTGCTCATGATTTTGTTCAGAATTACACAATTTCTCCCCGTGAGATTTGCACTGCTCACATGTTCCAAGATGATTGAGGCCACCTTCAAAGCTTCCCCTCTACAATATTTCTCAAGACAATTCCATCACTACTCTCTTTAAGAGAATGATTATATGCTGCATCAAAATTGATCTTCAATATTCACTCAGCAGGTCTAGACCACTGAGAAGTTGCGGAATCTGATGTCAGTAAAGGCATTATATTCAAAGCCCGAGTTTTCATTGCATCGTGAAAGTGTGACAAGGCATTATAGGTTTCTGCTTTTTCCTGAAAATCCATTCATTCTTCCTCTTCCATATACACCAACACTATAAAAGAAACAAGGCTAAATGTTTGCCGGGACATATTAAGGGTAATTTTTACCTAAAAATCCATTCATTCTTCCCCTTTCATTGCCTCGTAACAGTTCATGGGTTGTCCATGAACTGTTGTAGCATGGCATCCAACGATAGGGTTGTGAGCATGGGTTCGATTCAGAAAAATCTACAGTTGGACATTGTAAATAGAGGCGTCTACGTGTAAGCATGTCAACACAGAAGCAGATTCATACTAGAGGATTAAATAAGTTGTAATTTCATTAGTATGCACATAGAATTCTAGGTTGCCAAAAGCTTCCTCAAGCTAAACGACGGAAATGAAGATCATGTTGTTAAAGAAAGAAAGGAAGCTTCACCATGAAAATATGGCCAAGCAGTCAAATGTCCAAGCAAGGTCAAAGCCAAAGCCAAATAGTATAATGAGAAATTTAAGATTTATATAGTATACGATGGCCCAACTGAAGGAATCGGCCAGGCTGTTTGTGTCGGTTTTTCTTGGTGTTCTAAGGTTTTCGGTTCTTGAATTGAGCAGAGTAGAGATGATGAATAAGAACAAGGGCTGGTTTCAATGTCTAGGGAACAAGGGCTGGTCTCTATGTCTAGGGAAATTTGCTTTGCAGTTGAATAATCATTTCGAATTGTTATGTGTGTGTATATTATCATTATCCTTGCCCTAATTTCATGTATATATATCTTATAATAGTTGAATAGATTAACATCATGCATTATATGAAAAGGTTAAACAGCAAGAATAGCAAATTGTCAGTTTCTTTCCAACAAAACAAACTTGTAATTGTCAATGTTGATGAACAATATAAAAACCTTGTACGGGTTAAATGGAGATATATAGCAAATTCCAAATTGCAGACTAGGGAAAGGACTACTTACATACCTTCAATGAAACCGAGCTGTTGACATTGGCATGGTAGAGGTAGATGTTCTTAAGGTCTCTGTCTTCTTTTCCCAAAGTAAATGAAGAAGCTTCTCCCATCTTGATGTTGTAAACAATGTGATTTCTCGATGTCTGTGAAGCGCACAAGCTCACCAACTCTCCATTTTTTAACCAGACGATTGAGAGAATACAAACACCAATGTAAAAATAATTCGTTGGGATGAAGCATTCTATCAAGCACGCCACTTTGACCTGTCAAGTCAATGTTGTAAAGCCTTGTCCACTCTGCTGTATTGAATTCTTTCAACACCCAAACCTCCCACAAAAAAATCGTATTTTGAACCATCAAAGCAAGAAAGCTTCCCTTGCTATAAAAAAACTCCATTTTTCATTGAAGACCTTCGGAACTGGAAGCTGGTGCATCATTTCAGATTTAACATCCAAAGCTAGAAGATGACTATGAGATCTGGTATTCAGATTAGTATTTGGAATATGTTTAGCATCAATCAGTCTCCATGCAGTTTCAGTACCCACAGTTACTATTGCACACATGAAATCATGGTTGTCATTTTCATCTAAGACATAGACAACTTTGTATCTCCTGATAGAATGAGCATGTACTAAAGCAGAATAAGGTAAACAATTAAACATCCAATAGGTTCAAATAATGGAGGGAGGGTCAGTATATGCTTGGTAATAAGATTTTCCACACGGAATTGAAGTTTGTTATGACGGAACAAAAATAAGCCATCACAGCTAGACAAAATACGTTTTACTGAACTTATATTTTAATTTTCTTAACTGAACATTGAAATTTTTTGTCTCCACAAAATCAATCACTTCTAGATGACCAATTTGTTGGGTGAGGAGGCATTTATTTGATTTTTGAGGGTGTGCATTAATAAATTCTATACCACTCTCGGCAAACATGTCTCATCACATTGTAAAGAGTATCAGGAAGAAAAACCAGAATTTTGAATATGATCCCTTCCAGAAGAAAAGGTAAGCTGTTTCTCATCTTTCTTCTACTTGAACAAGCAAGTGCCTTAGATTTATTGGAGATATGATTGACTCCAGTCATCTGCAATTTTAAAAAGGATTTTCTTATATAAAATAAAAAAATGCAACTTTAAATAGGGTTAAAGAAAAAAACTAACCAAATTCCTAAACATGAAATTCGCAAAAATATAGAATCAAAAAAAGGAAAAATAAACCCACCAGAGAGACATACTATTTTACAGTAGCACCCATATGAAACTTCATGCAGTTTACATGAAAACTTTACAAAAACTGCAGGATAGATCATGAAGAAAACAAATCAACTGAAATTAAGAACTTCCTTTATTAAAACTTTGACTTCTCATTATGAAGAAAGAGAAAAAACATGAATCCAAAATGATAAGCCTCTCTAACAATAATAATAAACAAAATTAAAAAAATACACCAACACCTTCAACCAGAAAAAAGAATGGAAGCAACATATAGATAAATAATTCTTAGCTATGGTCTTCAACAAAAGGCAAAGACTGTCTCTTTCGAAAAGTTTTACATTTTCCCATTACATCCAGGCAATTTAATTTCTATGCATGCTTAGTCCAATATACAATTCTGCCATGGATCATTGAGTTGCAAATCATATGCTAGTATAACCCAATATCATAAAATGTATGGCATGCATATATTTAGTAACTTTAGGACCCTAACCCACCTCAAGAGTAACTTTGAAATTCATGATTGGTCATGGTACTGTAGGATCACAAGTTATACTACTTTGCAGATATGGGAGTTTACAAGGGCGTCTGGTTGAAACAGTTTCCTGTTGCCCGAGAAAAAACATATAAATAAATATACATATGTATATATATATATATATATATATATATTTGAAAACTTTATAATAATTTCAATAGAAGTTTAAATATTTAATCAATCAACATAAACAATATATATATATATATATATATATATATATATATATATATATATATGCAAGTGAGAGAGAGAGAGAGAGTTACCTCTTGTAGCTGCATAGATTCAGCCTTGAGATCAGTACTGCCACAACAAACACAGCTCTTTCGGACAATGGGACGATGAGCAAGTCGAGGTGATCTTCTGGATTGAGTTCTCCCATTATCCAGTGACAATGATAATGACAATATAGTCAAACACAATTCTCTTCACCTTTTCTTTCTGATAGCAAAATTGATTTCTTTCAGCCGTTGGGATTTTCTTTTTATGGTTGCTGGGATTTTTGTAGATCACAAAATAATTTTAAATTTTAAAATGAAGAAACTCAAAGAAGCGCCAAAATAGTACTCAAAAACAGAAGGAAAGAGTAGATTTTCCCTTTTGCAATTTCTTTCATTTATTTTTCTTTTAAAATGCGATTTGACAATGGAAAAAAAATAAATAAATAAATAAAATTCGAGAATGGACAAATTTCACTGAGAAAGTTAACCGGTCAAACAATGCCAAACATAAATAAGGACCATATGAGACCATATAAGAAAGGAATATATAAATACTATGAATAGGTCAACTCGAGTAACTACTATGAATAGGTCAAATTTTGTTCTGAAATTTAATTGGCATGATACAGAATCATAGAAGAGGCTTAAATAAGCTGCAATTTCACTAGTAAGCATACAAAGTTCTTGGTTGGCGCAAGCTTCTTCAAGCTAAATGATGGTAACCATTGTCTGTACATTTAGTGATGCATTTCTTCACTTGAAATGTCCCTCCTAATCCCAGCAAGAATGATTTCCTTCAGCAGGAGAGGATCCTGCGGCTTGGAAAAAGGAGGTCACCAATGGCGTTGATACTTTCACTGTTGGAAGCTAACTTCCAGTTCAATTGGAATGCCCGAAGTGAACTCAAGTCGCTCTCACCATACTTGCTCAGATTAGCCTCTTCACTCAAGCTTAACTCTCTTAGTCGGAGAACTCACATTAGATTTTGCCTCCTCAGGATAAATTAGCCTTACCCCTCTGCATCAACAGGCGAAAACATTTGTCACTAGGCTTCAATCCTTTGTCTAGAATTTCGCTGTAAAGATGATGAGCTCTTGTTATGTTACCCTTCTCAATGAGGCTTGCAATCAATGTCTCATAAACGTATGCAGATGGTTCTAATGATCGTCGTTTCATAACCATTAAATATGTTTCCGCTTCATCCAACCTTCCACAATGACAAAGGCCGCTAATCAACGATTCAAAAACCAATGAACCATGAGAGAGTGATCTGTATTCCGCTTCATAATACAGCTTGATAGCATCCTGAATGTTGCCTTCTTTCGCAAGGCCTGCAATAAGGTGAGAATAAGTGATTTCGTCCGGCACAAACCCCTTATCTAACAGAACAGTTAACATCTCATCAGCTTGCTTCACACCCCCAGTTTCACATAGCTTTCCAAGCATATCATTGAAAGCAGAACAACTAGGAACAAGTCCCATAGCCAACATTCTCTCACAAAACTTGAAGCTCTCTAGGATTCTTCCCGTCTCGGAGCAACCCACAATGAGATGATTGAAAGTCTCATCATATGGCTTCAATCCCATGTTTTCCATTTCTTGCATCAAGCAATTTGCAGCATCAATCCTTCCCTCTTTACAATGAGCCCCTATAATTGAAGTGTATATGAAAGAATTGGCATACAAGCCTCTCTTAAGCATTTCCTCATAAACCTCACGTGCAGAGTCTAAACTCCCAAGCTTAACTCTTGCATAAACAATCAAAGAAAAAGAAATGGTGTCAAGAATCATATACCTCCTCAACATTTTCTTCAACAAAACCATCCCTTCTTCAATTCTTCCCTCTTCTAAAACCCTAAAAATCAAACAGGTGTTAACAATCACTGAAGGAGAACATCTCTTCCCATGAATTCTATCCAAAATGTCAACAAATTCCTGCAACTTCCCTTCTTTGCACAGTGCACTGGTCATGATTCTGACTGTAACATCATTTGGGTTTGTTCCTTTTTTGATCATATACTCATAAATCTTCCAAACCAGAGTGGTCTGATCAGATTTTTGAACCACATGAAACAATGTGTTGTAACTAATAATACCCAAAGAAAATCCATTTTTACCCAAATATTGACAAACATCAAAAGCCACATCTATCATTCTCAACTTAGAGTAAGTTTGTACCAACAAATCAAACACAAACGGAGTCGAATCAGTACTTCCATAACTACTAATCAGTGAATCAACCACAAGAAATCGCGAAAAATTACCCGAAACACTTTTTGTCAGGATTGATTCGAGCAATGCACGAGCGTCCTTGATGAGCTTAGCGCGAACCAAGATGTGAATCGCAATGCAATAACTGAGAGTCCCATGTTCGAAATTCATGCGCTGAGCTGACCAGTGGAAGAAACCCAGAGCGCGTTTGGCATCGATGGGTTGTTTCAGTTCGAATAACACCTTTTCGACGAATGAATCGCTCAACTCTACTGAATTGAATCGTCGAGCCAGTGCGTCCCAGTTCAAGCCTTTTCGCAGCGAATCGCATATGGAGTTCACAATTGATGGATCGATTTGGGGTTGTTTTGGTACTGTGTGAATTGACTGTGTGAATGTTGGGAATCTATGAGTGGCTAGGCAAAGCCCTGAAGAGTGATGGTTTGGATGAGAGATTGAAGATGGAATCATTCGAATCCATGTTTGTTTCATTGATTTTCGCTTCAGATGTTCATACATGCAACTTTAAAATCACCTCTTCAAAGTTCCAAACTTTGACCATATAAAGTGAAAAATAAATAAATAAATAACATAGTGATGTGATGACATTTTGTTAGTTAGATTTGTATAAATTGTTAAATTTATCTTTAATTTTTAAAATTAAAGATTTAAATAAAAATTATAAGTAGAAAATTTTAAAATAATTTAAGTAAGTTTTTAACTTTTTATTAATATATTACATGAAAAAAATGTATTTTCTATTTAAGTAATATTATTATTTTTCATCCATTTATAATATGTAAAATAAAGTATTTTTTATGATAAAAAAGTTTTAATTGAGTATAATAAATTTTATTATAAATAGAAAAATGTTAATATAAGTTGATATTTTAGAAAATTATAGTTACAATTTCTTCTTTTTTTATTTTTATGATAAATTGACACTAATAATAAAATTAAGATAAATGATATAATTAATATTTAGATATGAAAAAGATAATAAAATAATTTAATAATAAATGAGAATTTTAATGAGAATTGATAAAATATGCTTTTGTGATGAGTTTGTTTTTTAATCACACTAAATTATTATTTTAGATGTGTAGTTTGTACTTCAAATTATTTTTTTTGTCACTTTACCGTATAATCAAATCATTGTCCGTATTCTAGCTTATGAAATCTTGCACATTTAAAAAAACACAACCGGTTTTGTTTTTATTTAAACTTACCGAACACAAAAAGTGCAACTGCTTTTGGTGTGAGTTACTTTTTTAACCTGAGAAAAGTGTAATTGGTATGTTTGAAACAGAACCAGTTGTACTTTTACATAAAGAAAAAATACACAAGTTTTTAACTTAGAAACTTGTAACTCTCAATTTAGCAAAAAAACATAATATATGCACATGTGTCTTTATTTACATACATGTTCTAAATGACGTTGGCAACGAGTTTAACATTAAGAGGCACTTGTGTTTCAATTTAGAAAAATTAGGACCGAAGATAAACAAAAATATAACTTGATCATCAAGTTTTGATTCCAAAAATTTCAACATACCAATTTATATCTCACAATTTAGCTCACAACTCTTTTATTGTTAAATTTGAAGTTTAAAATACCTATCAATTTTTAGTTGTTCGATGAACGACAAATATACTTTGTACTTACAAGACAGAATCAAGTTAGTGTGAGTATGTGAAAGTAAGGGTGGAATCAAAAATTATTAATGAGATGGGTTAATATTTTTTTGAGTAGCTATATATATATATATATATATTTTGACTTGGCTAAAATTGTCTATAGTAAAAAAATTATGTTTTTTTTTGGAATGGGTTTGAATTGCATATCCGTGTCTCATGTATCTATACAAGAATAACTTAGCTTGGTATACTGTATATGTAATTATTAAATAATAATTTTTTAAAAAAAATTAATTATTAAACCAAGCTGATAAATAGTGATATTTTCTTGCCTTTTTAAAATAGAATATTGATGGTTCAAAATAATTAATCTCACAATTCAAACCAGTATTTTACTAATGCACTAAGCAAAAGTTGCTAGAATCTGTTCACAAGCATTTCAATTTTTAAAACTATCAACAAAAATGTGTAAGAAGAAATAGAATATGAACATATAATAATAATAATAATAATAATAATAATAATAATAATAATAATAATATAAGATAGACAAAACAATAAATATTATATAATTTTAACCAATATATATATATATATATATATATATAATTTAATTTAATTGTATTTTTAAAATAAAAAAAATTTCTCCAAATTAATAGTGGTGATTTGGTTTAATGAGGGACTAAGTCATAAGTAACCAAACACCACCCCTTCCCTAACCCTAATCCCTGTATTGCGCAATTAATGAAATCCAATCTCGCAGAGAAAAGTCCCATAAACACTACCACAGTGTACGACCGCTGGTTCACCCCCAAACACACACACAGACTCGCGCACACACATACACATAGCCATGGACTCCACCCTTACCCAACCCGTCTCCATCAAACCCTCCTCTGCTCGTAAGCTGCCAATCAAACGCAAAAACCCCGACAATTCTAACCCTAACCCTAGTTTTCACCCAACCCTAGTCCCCAAACTCGAATCCACCACCGAATATACCGCCGACGACGACAGGGATGGCGACGACGTCGGTGGTGGAGATCCGAACCCGCCGCCGTTCAAGTTCCACCGGATATGGACCGAGCCCGACGAGATTCGTTTCCTTCAGGGCCTTCTCGACTGCTCCTCCGATGGCCTTTCGTTCCCGAGAGACCTTAACGTCTTCTACGCTAGGTTCTCCGGCACCATGTCGCAGCCGTACACGAAATCTCAGCTCTCCGAGAAGCTCCGGCGGCTCCGCAAGAAGTTTCGGGTGATCTCGTCGCGTCTCGCGCGGGGGCTCGACAAGTCGGCGCTTTCGTCGCACGATCGGTCTCTGTTCGAGCTGTCGAAGCGGTTATGGGACCCTGAATTTTTGTCAAGTTCGCCTTTTGGTGCCAACAATAAGCCAAAGAAGTCGAATTTGGTTGGGGTCAAAGTTAGCTTCTCGCCAACACTGCATTCAACTTCAATTTTGGATCATAGCGTCCTGAATTACGTTGACGATGACATTGATGATCATGTTTGTGCTGGTTTTGATGGTAATGTTGATGTTGTTGATGGTGGTGTGAAATTAAGTGATGTGAATATTGAGTTTGATGATGGCGTTCAAGAAGAGGAATTTCCGGTACCAATCTGTTGTGATGATGTCGGAATTGGGAAAATTGCAGGGAAGACTGTGCTTGATGTGTTTGATCATTCTCTGAAAGAGGTTAGGATGGAGTTTGTTCGTCAGCGTCTGCTTTATCCAGACAATGGGTCCACAAAAGCTGGTTCTTCCAAGGAAGGGAAAGTGGAGAATTTCGAAAACCGGTGGCGGGAGCAACGGGTTGCGGAGTTGGATGTTTTGGCTCATCGCTTGAGGTTGGTTCTTGAGAATTCACTTCAAATGCAATGAATATAAGTACTTGTATATGGAACTGGCACAACACCCATCTTTTATTTATATTATCTTCTTTTTATTGCCTCATTTTAATTTATTCGATAGTTTTCTTAAGCTTCACATTACATTTGATTCCTTTTTTTCTTTTATTTCCTCTTCTTTTTCACATGAGAAAATTTGTAAATTCCTTCAGAGAGAATTTATTTGTTTATCTACATTTCGATGTTTCTGTCGCTGAATAAGTTTAGGTAATGGAATATATCTTTGTTTATATCTGTTGATGTCGATGCATAAATGTTTGCTTGAAATATTGTTTATGGTGCTTCTACTTTGTGTGGGCTATCAACAATGTAGCGTGGAAAGTTGTAGTATGTGGAACATAGTGGAGTTGTGTGGCAAGATGGTGGCAATGACGAAATGGTAAAAAGTGAACCATGACCTGATGATGGTTCATAGTAGTGATGGAGGTATTGGTGACAAGCCACTGAAATGGTGGTAGGGTAGTGTTAAGTGGTGGTTATGGTGATGGATTGCCAAATATGAGATTTTCAACAATTCGTGATTGAAGATGTTTCCATGACATTCAAATGAATGTGACAGTTGTGATGATGGTGGTGGGCGTTGGTCTGTTGATGGTGACAGTTTCACAAATTTGGCGGTGATAATAGTGTTATGAAACAATTGTTATGGTGACAACATTTTTTCGGTACTAGAGGTGAGAAGCTGGTAGTGGTAATGAGTTGGTAAGGTGTTTTGGCCATTTGGGGTTTTAGTGGTCGTGGTGATGGTGAGAATGTGCAGAGGTGGTGATTTGGTGATGGAGGTGGTGACAAATTACTAGAGGAGTTTAGTGGTGACTGTGTACCAGACGGTGATGGGAGCCATGCATTATTGTGATGGTAGCATTGTTGGTTAGATCACTAAGGTGAGGTGGTTGTGATGTTTAGGCACCCACCCATTTAGAAATTAGAGTTGCACTAGATGAGGGTTGCCACCACTTGAAAAACTTGGCTAGACAACTCTGACCAACTCGTGTGATTTATCTTGGATTGATAATGAGTTGGCATGTTGATGTGCACCATTGTTAATAGTTCGAGCTCTCTAGTAGCTTTCAACAAGACAGCCCAGCCCTTGGCATATCTTTGCCAACCAATTCCGTTGGACATGTAACAAGGGTATACCAATTTCAATTCCTTGTGTTATTTGTCTCTCAAAGGTTATGTCCAATGTCAGTGCCTGAGTTATACATTGGCTTGTGTCCATTTAGGGGGAGTGAGGAAAATTGAAATGGAGAACTCATTCTTTGTTGACTGTTATTTAACCCTTGGAGTGATGGTATGAGCCTGAATACAGAACATTGTTAGATCGATCATCTCTCTCTCTCTCTCTCTCTCTCGCCAAGAATTTTCAGATTTATATCCTCATTCCACTTATAATTTGTCCAATTTACTTTCCCCCGTATCCCTTTTCCTCAACACACATGACATGAGCATGCAAATGGACCCACACAGATGTTTTAGAAGGTAAAAGGAATCGAACAAGAGCATGTGACAGGCCCATTCCTCCGGAAGTAGTTGCTTGTGTCTACTGGAGTTCTACCTTTTCATACCTCATCTAAAGGCTGTTGGAGCAAAAGCACAACACATGCTCCATCTCCTGGTAATATTGCTTCTTTCATACTTTTATCTAAAGGCTTTTACTTTAAATGGATACTCTTTCTCCAGTTCAGCCAAGTTCCTCTCTCTCTCTCTCTCTCTCTCTCACACACACACACACAAAAAAAAGGGGAATGGGTTTAATTTTGAATTTTTTTAGGATTACAACTTGCCTTTGTGACTTTGCTAAGCTTTTTTAGGGTACCAATTATTTGAAGTTTCTGTTACAAGTGAGGAAGAAACTGTAGCTGTACTTCATGTTTTTTCTTTCTTGGATAGGTTAGAGAGACACACCCAACTCATATGCATTCACCATAGGTGAGAAACTTGGACCTTCCATCTTCATGAAAAGAGATACAGCTGATACTTCATATTATGAAGCTGGATGGTTTCTTAGTGATGCACTTCATAAATTTTTAAAACAAATTTGAGCTAAGCGATATATTAACTTGTAAGTCTTTTGTCTAAGTGGCTTTCGGTCTCAACTCTCAACCTGTCAGTCAGTCTCGAGATCGGTAGAGAGGAAAGGATATATATATATATATATAATATTTGCTTTATTCTGAATTTGCTGTAGCGCCGAGATTAAAATGTAGTGGAACTCTGCAAGTGCGGAATGATATTAGTGATCCTCTGTACAAATACAGATTCACTGTGAATGTGTAAATTGTTTAAAAAACTTAAGAAATGTCAATAGTTTTTGTACAAAAGACTTTTTAAATTGGTGATTTATTTTCCCACATTCTAATAAAGAGAGACATTGATTAGAAATGTGATATAACCAATTTGTGTATTCAGGGTCAAAAAAACATGTCTAGGCCAATTAATTTGTACATTAACACCGTCAAACATCGCATACTTCCGTATCACAGTTCTGTATGGATCATTCTAGTTGTCTTATTTTTTGTATGGAAAATATCTTTAACGAGTAAATTTATCGAATTGATGATTTCAATGATAGCGAGTCCTTGAATGCATTCAAGCGGAACTCAAGCATCAATCATATATATATATATATATCCAGAAAACAGAACACAGTCTCCAAATGGTGTGAATAATTGTTATGATGATATCTAATGAGGTTCATATTCAATTTGTTCGCGCGCGCCTGGAATATGTTCATATTCATGGATTAAAAGTTTATTATTCCCGAGCTATATTGCATTTCCCTTCACCTGAGCCAATTATGAGTGGGCCCAATTAACTTTTGAAAACTGTTAGAATCAGACGGAACTTTTCAGCCTTACAAAAAGGAAAAAAATTCCCTATATGAGTTGGAATCGTTTGTTGTTTCATAAAAGAGTTAGCCTCAAAATTAAGTTTCATAAACGATCACAATTGAGACTGAAAATGTACTAATTTATACTAAAGATTAGTAGTTATTATTTGTCAATGGTAAAGTGATATTACTTTACTTATAAAAAAAAAGTGATATTACTGGAATGACTTTCTATTAAGTTAAATAAATAATGAAAAATTAATTTTTTTTTTTAATGGAAAACCTGAAAACCAGCATACCCACTTGGAAAACTGGGCGGGCGCGGTATCAATTAAGTCATTGGATAATGCTCAAAAAAATTAATGAAATATAAAAAAAAAAATTATATTATGGTAATATATATAATGGTAATTTTTTGCCAAATTTTTATTTTTAAAAAATCATACAGCAAGGTTTTTATTATAATTATTTTGGCAATCAATTGTTTTATAAAATGAAGAAAACAAGCTGAACATTACCAAACGGAACCACTGTAACTGGTTGATCTGATATAAAAATTTAGGTAGTGTTGCATTCTATTTTATTAAATCTCAAGACAGAAACATGAACACCCTAATGTTCTTCTCTATTTCAATACACAATGCCTTCGTTGGAATTATACATTTTTTTCCTATCTGAAGCAATTTTTTTTACTGATTATAACGAACCGTCTTGTCATTTCATTTAAAAGTTTAAACTATTAAGTACTGTTTCATACCGATTCATATATTCTCAAAAGCTTCTCCATCTGGATGTGTTTTGCATGAAGAAATTTTTTATAAAATGGTTATCAGTCCAACATAATTTTATATTGGGCTTTTAAACTGAATTAAGAATTTATGTAAAGAAAATGAGATGTTAGAATGGTTGAGTAGGATCACTAAAAAAAATAGGGATTCAAGGTAAAATATGAAGGAAAAACCAAGTGTAAGTAACGCCCATTAATATCAAAATTAGAGAAAAATGTCTATAAATGCTTGGATAAAAAAAAATATAACATTTAATATAAAAAAGTTATATAACTGATTTCATTTATATGAAATTAAGATAAGGATGACCACCACGAACGTTGTTTATCCGAATCTAGGACCAGAACCACCTAACACCTACCATGAAACAGCCTATTTATTGTGTTGGGAGAGTAAAGTAAAGGGTTCGGCAGTCTGAGATTTGGAAGTGAATGCAGATTGGCATGACCCATCCAGAAAAGGAGACTGGTTACTGGGCCCCACATGAAACTGAAAGTGAAAGAGTTTCGTTTTCATATCACCACCAACTTATCTCAACTCGCATTACCCTTCAAACCCATTCAAAATTTCAACTTTATCCACGTTACTCCGTTGCCCAATCCATACGTAGCCCACTTTGTCTTTTTCCAATTTAAGAAAAATGAAAATTTTATAGCCACTTTGTCCTTTTACCATTCAATGAAAAGAAAAATTACTATCTTAAAGTCCACGTCACCTTTTTGAGATTTCCAAAATCTATTTCCAATTTTAGATTTCCAAAATCAAGATCACTTTTCGTAGATATATACTTTTTTATTATTTATTTATAAAGTGTTGTGACAAATAAAATTATGAAACACTTCATAATTTATCATGATATATGAAATTTTTAATTCAGAATGAAAATAACTTAAAAATAATTTAAATTCTTTGTGTTTAAAAATAACAAATAATATAAATTCGTACTTTGTAAATAATATGGATACATACACTAAATTTTAATAGTATTATTGATCATAGTCATTGTCCAACTTTATTTATATATATATAGTTCTTCGATAAATAAAGTTGGACAATGACTATGATCAATAATACTATTAAAATTTAGCGTATGTATCTATATTATTTGTAAAGTATGGATTTATATTATTTGTTATTTTTAAACACAAAGAATTTAAATTTTCTTTAAGTTATTTTCATTCTGGATTAAAGATTTCATATATCATGATAAATATATAAATATATATATATTTCGTTAGCAAAAAATATACACATCACTCACATGCTCATTTTGTCATTTTAAAAATTCCAACTTCACTATCCGTTTTGAAATATAAAGAAAATATAACTAAATTACAAGAACTCGATGAAATATAACTAGATTACATAACCTCAATGAAGAGCTATAGCGTGTGAGATGCTCCTAAATGACTAAATGTGACTCATGTGACATATACATGCATGTCAACTCATTATCATAAAATAATAATAATAATAATAATAATATAAGAGTTAGACTAATTAAATTGTATTTATGTGACTGATTGCTTATGTCATCATGCATTAGCTCCTATCCAAATAAATACGTTAGAATCTTTATCACATAAAAGTGGACCTCATCAAAATTAATATTGATGGACAACTAATTTATTTTGGAAGAAATTATATTATATTTCTCACAAATTTTATGATCATGATTTTTTTACTTTTTATTTGCGCACCTCACAAATAGTTTGAAAACTCAATATAAAAATTATACCACTTAAATTAATGCCCATTGATCCTGATTTGGCACACAGTTTTTATACTAGTTCCATCCTAGTTTTTATAATTTTTTTTAAACAAATAATAATAATAACTACCATAAAGAAAAGGAAAAAAACAGAATTTTTTTTTATGATGGTAATTCTGTAATTTTGACAATAAAGAAAGGTGAGAAGCGGCTCAAAGAAAACAAACTTATACACCCACGTGGACTATCTTTCTGGTCCATTTCTTGTCCTCTTCTTTTCTAACCCGACCCGCCTACTCCTATATATCTCCTTCTGTGATCTCTCGTCGACGGCGACGTGAGCGAGGGAGACATAAACAGTGAGTTTGTCACTAGAGAGAGAATATCTAGAGAGAGAGAATCTAGAGAGAGAATTTTCACCCATGGACACCATGGATGAGACCGCCGCAGTCATTGAGTCCATTTTGAGAGAAGATGAGAGCAGCGAAATCGTCTACAACGATGATCACGGGTGGAAAACGGTGTCGTACTCAAAGCGCCAGAAGAAACAGACGGCGAAGCCACCGGCGAACTCCTCCGACCTCCAGAATTCCGGCGACGTCTTCAGCTCGATCGAGCAGCACTCGGAAGAGCGCCGCCGCCGCGCGTTGGAATCTCAGAAGGCCGCCATGGAAGCCGCAACGGCCTCCAATTCCGCCGTCAAATCAAACGCCGACGACGGCTTAGAAGACGGCAATGATGTCGAAGCCTCCGGCGGCGTTGAAAATGGCGGTACAGAGGCGAAGAAGTTGAAGCCGAAGAAGCCGAAGAAACCAAAGGTTTCTGTATCCGACGCCGCGGTGAAGATCGATGCCTCTGATCTTGTTGTTTTTCTTGATGAAATAACAGTGAGTTTACGATTCTCTCTCTATATTGTATCAATTTGATTTGGTGGACTGTGATCTGTTGTTTGAAATTGTATTTGAATTGAATTCTGTGTTTGTTGTGTTCAAAATTTTGAATTTCGTTATGGTTTGTGTAGGCTTCTTATGAATCGCAGCAGGATATACAGCTCATGCGATTTGCCGACTATTTCGGCCGCGCATTTGCTCCAGTGAGTGCGTCTCAGTTCCCTTGGATGAGGACATTGAAGGAAACTTCTGTAGCAAAGATGGTTGATGTGAGTCTCTCTCTCTCTCTCTCTTATATTTTAAGTTATTTTAATTTTAATTAGATTCCATTCGATGTGTGTTTAAAGAAAATAGAAAAGAAAAGAAAAAGTTCTTTTTTGATTGACTTTTCAGAAAGAGAGTGAATACATGGCAGTGAGACCTTCAAAGGTCTCAGCTTTTTGCTGGATTCTCTATGAGGCATAAAGTTTGAATTTTTAATGCTAAATGTGTTATATGATGAAATTGATCTTCAGAATTGTATTGTATAGTGCATGCATGTGGTCCTTATGCCTCTTCCAAACTTCATTTTTGTGTTTATTTGCATTTTATTTTTTCTACTTTTAATGTTACCAATGATCTCGAATTAGATGCATTTTTAGATTAAAGATGACTTGGATTTGTTTTGTTCTTCAATCTGTTGTTTTGCATGCATTCTATCTGCTTCATCTCATCTTGTTGATTCTGGGCACTCAAAATGATTAACCATATCATTCAGCATATCATATGTTACTAGGGATCTTGTATTTGTACTTCTTTTTCAGAATTTTCTACATTTTGAGTACTTTTTTTTTCCCTTTCATCAGATCCCTCTGTCTCATATATCCGAAGCTGTTTATAAGACATCGGTTGACTGGCTGAACCAGCGATCTTTAGAAGCACTTGGTTCCTTTGTGTTGTGGTCAATGGATAGCATTCTTGCTGACCTAGCTATCCATCAAGGAGCCGTTAAGGGACCAAAAAAGGTGGTTCAGGATTTTCCTGCCAAGTCTCAGGTAGAATTTCCTTTTCCTTCATAATCTTATCACGTAATTATTTGAGGTTTGCATGCAGTATAGTTGTTATGATTTTGACAAATTAGAAGGTTTTTTCCAGAAATGGAATATAGGTAAGATTAAACTGGAAAGCAATGGCCTTTCAAAAATCATAGGATCAGCTACATTTTGTGATTTGACATGGCATGTTTGTCGGATGCGACAATTCCCCATATTTGGCGTTGTCGCTGTAGCAACGAAAAATTCTCAATGTTTGTCGGATTGGAGAACTCCTTATTTGGAGTTGTCGTTGTAGTCAAACTAAAATTCTCAATGTTAGTCGGATTTGAGAACTCCCCATATTTGGGGTTGTCGTGGTAATTAAATCCAAAAATTCTCAATGCTTGTCGGAATTGATAACTTCCCATATCTGGTTTTGTCATCGTAGTCGAATCCAAAAAATTTTAATAACATGTTCGCCGGATGCAAGAAATTTCATTTGAGGTTGTCATAGTTGTCAACCGATTTGTAGCACGTGTCCTTAACTGGTTTGTAGCACGTGTTCAGGAAGTTCCTGCAAAGTCTCAGGTAGAATTTCCTTTTCCTTCATAAGTTTATCGCATAATTATTTGAGAGTTTGAATGCAGTATAGTTGTAATGATTTCGACAAATTTAAGGGTTTTCCAGCAATGGAATGTAGGTAAGAATAAATTGGAAATCAATGGGCTTTCAGAATTCATGGGACCAGCCACGTCATGATTTGACATGGCATGTTTGTCTAATGCTACAACTCCCCATATTTGGAATTGTCGTTGTAGCAAGATTCAAAAATTCTCAACGTTCGTCGGATTCGAAAACTCCTTATTTGGAGTTGTCGTCATAGTCAAATCTAAAAATCCTCACTCCCCATTTTGGGGGTTGTCGTGGCAGTCAAATCCAAAAATTCTCAATGTTTGTCGGATTTGATAACTTCCCATATCTGGTTTGTCGTCGTAGTTGAATCCGAAAATTCTCATAACATGTTTGCCGGATACAAGAAATCCCGTTTGGGGTTGTCGTAGTTGTCAACCGATTTGTAGCACGTGTCCTTAACCGATTTGTAGCAGTGTTCAGGAAGTTCCTGCAAAGTAACAGGTAGAATTACCTTTTCCTTCATAAGCTTTTCACATAATTATTTGAGAGTTGCATGCAGTATAGTTGTTATGATTTCGACAAATTTAAGGGTTTTCCATAAATGGAATGTCGGTGAGAATAAATTGGAAAGCAATGGCCTTTCAGAATTCATGGGATCAGCCACATGTCATGATTTGACATGCCATGTTTGTCGGATGCGACAACTCCCCATATTTGGAATTGTCGTTGTAGCAAGATTAAAAAATTCTCAATGTTCGTCGGACTTGAGAACTCCCCATATTTGGGGTTGATGTGGTAGTCAAACCCAAAAATTGTCAATGTTTGTCAGATTTGATAACTCCCCATATCTGGGGTTGTTGTCGTAGTTAAATCCAAGAAATTCTCATAGCATTTTCGCCGGATGCTAGAAATCCCGTTTGGGGTTGTTGTAGTTGTCAAATCCAAATTTTTTTGCCTAAGGGTGACCGATTTGTAGCACGAGTTCTCAGACATCTATGGAATGTTAAAAATTAGAGGCAGTTATTAGTTTTTAGTTGGTTCTCCGAATGTGCAAACTTTTCTTTCACGCATTTGACCAGGACCAGTGTATACTGCTGTTGGCATTCAAACTGATGTGCGATAAACACTGATACGTGTTCCATATCACATGCCATGATTTGACATGGGATGCTTGTAGGATGCAACCACTCCCCATATTAGCAAAATTGAAAAATTATCATGTTTGTCAGATTCGAGAACTCCTTATTTGGAGTTGTCGTCGTAGTCAAATCTAAAAATTCTCAATGCTTGTCGAATTTGAGACTTCCCCAAATTTGGGGTTGTCGTGGTGGTCAAATCCAAAAATGATCAATGTTTGTCAGATTTGATAACTCCCCATATCTGGGTTGTAGTCGTAGTCAAATCCAAAAAATAACCATAACATGTTTGCAGGATGCAAGAGATCCTGTTTGGGGTTGTTGTAGTTGTCAAATCCAAAAATTCTTGCCTAAGTATGACCGTTTTGTAGCACGTTCCTCAGACATCCACGGAACATTAAAAAATGGATGTAGTTATTAGTAGGTTCTCCGATAGTGCAAACTTTCCTTTCACACATTTGACCAGGACCAGTGTATCCTGTTATAAGCATTCAAACTGATGAGCGGTAAACACTGATACGTGTTCCATGCCAATAGGGCATAGGAGTATAACATGTTAATTTGTTTCTAAGGAGCGGTGTCCACATCATGGAGTGTAGGAGCTGATTACTGTTGGAAAGTGATTAAAAAACTTAAGTTAGCTGGAGTGGCAATGTCTGATGCTCGGATAACTATGCAACTTATTACGAAGGAGATATGTGTCTTTCTCTTGGGAAGCTCTTCCACATGTTCGCTTTTAGTGTTTTAAAATTAGAATATATGCTGAATATTCATTTTTGCATCCCTTTTTTGTTTTTGATTGTCTTTCCCTTTTGGTTTTGATTGCATTCCTTTTTTGGTTTTGATTTTTTTTTGTTCCTTATGTAGTGGTCATATTTTATTTTTACTTTTCCCTAATCTTGTGGTGGTCACTTTAATTGCAATTATATGACCTTTAGGACTGCTAATTACAAAATCTGGTGAATTTACATCCTTTGTCATCGGAGTATGGTAAATGACATTACTACTCACTCTCTAGTATTCCTTCATGGTCCATTTTTCACCTTTTATGGTTTTGGGCTATTCCCGAACTGAAGGCCAAACATCTGCTTAGTAAAGAAGTACCATAGCCCATGGTTAAGCATGAAAGACAACCAATGGAGGATGTATTTAGAGTAATTTGAGGTATGGTGGCATAATGTTGTGAGGAATAATTTAGGGACACAAGATGAAGGGCATGGTCTGGAATTGGCTTGATTTGAGACTCACTTGTCAGATAATCGAGCCGAACCAAACTTATTCATATTGATGCTCAATAATTTGATGAGTTCAGTTTGAGAAGCTAATGAGCTTCCTAAGGCTGTGTAGATCCCAAACTACTCAGGCTTAAATAGGTACGTTAAAGTATCCACTGTCATATACCAACTTGTGCATGTCTAGCCACAAACTTATAGTTTTCACTATCCCTTTAATGAAGATCCTCTAGCAATTCCATACTTAAATGTACTCATAAACATATGCATGATCTGCAACTTCTGAATATAATATAATGTTTTTTTCCTCCAGTAAGTGACTTTTGATATAATGTTCTTAATGTGATGATTTCTTTCATGATATTTAACATTATACATGCCTGCAATGTTCATTTGGGGGGTGGAAAAAAACGAATGAAAAGGAACGCAGGAGATCATATTCCTTAGCTGTCCACGAAAATTTTCTATGTTACTCATCTTCATAATTGATGTATTAATGACACTACGGAGGAACTGCAGGTTGCCATGTTTGTGATTTTAGCAATGACATTGCGACGAAAACCTGATGTGTTGATAAGTCTACTGCCTGTAATGAGGGAAAATCCTAGTTACCAAGGACAAGATAAGCTTCCATTCACAGTATGGCTGATTGCTCAGGTGAGTTAGACAAGTTACCACTTTGGTGCAGCTAAGTACTTCCTAAAGAATGAAGGCAACTCTTCTCCAAGTATCATTTTTTTAAAAGTAAAACTTAATTGTGCAGGCCTGTCAAGGAGATTTAGTTGTGGGGCTCTTCATGTGGGCGCATTTCCTCCTGCCGACGCTGAGCAATAAATCGAGTGCTAATCCGCAGTCCAGAGACTTGATTTTACAGCTGGTGGAGAGGTTGGAAACGATTTCAGTTAATGCGATGGTTATTTCTCTTCTTCTCTTTTATACTGTTTATAAATTAAGAACTCTGAATTCATAATTGCAGAATCGTATCTGCCCCCAAAGCTCGTCCTATTCTGTTAAATAATGCAGTCAGAAAGGGGGAGCGCCTAGTGCCACCATCTGCTCTTGAGCTTCTAATGAGAGCCACCTTCCCTGCACGCGCGGCTAGAGTTAAGGTTTGTACACTTAGGGTGCATATGTAATATTCCTACACGATAGGACTCAGTCTCTGGTTATCCCAGAAGTTGAGGTCCGAGGCATTTTGAGTGTATGGTTTGTGCAGGCTACTGAGAGGTTTGAAGCTGTGTATCCCACCTTGAAAGAGGTTTGTCTTGCCGGTGTCTCCGGAAGCAAAGCAATGAAGCAAATAACACAGCAAACAGTGCAGTTTGCTATCAAAGCTGCTGGCGAAGGTAAAGGTCAAACTTGAATAGAGTACCTTTGTGTGGCTTTGGGATTTTAGGGCTATAACTTTGTATCAGGGCTTGATGTACGCGATTGTTTGCAGGTGTCCCTGACCTATCAAGGGAAGCAAGTGATGTATTTATATGGTGTTTGTCTCAAAACCCAGAGTGTTACAAGCAATGGGTGAGCTGTTCTGGTTATTATTTGTCTGTTAATTATATTTAATAATTTGAGCTTTTATATCTTCGATCCACGCATGAACAACCTGTCTTGTTTCATCTTCATAAACCAATTTAATATACAGGACAACCTTTATCTGGATAATCTTAAAGCAAGTGTTGTTGTTCTGAGAAAGCTTTCTGATGAATGGAAGGAACAATCTGCTAAACATTCTACTCTTGAACCTTTAAGGGCGACTTTAAAGAATTTCAGGCAAAAGGTAACGATCTTTTTAGCTTTACTGCACCAGAAAATAATTTGGTTTAAGGATGTGCCTTACTTTGTTCCTTATGAATTATTTTATTTTTTTAAAAAAATCATTCAATCTGACGTGGGTCATCTGATAATATAACAATTATTTCTGATTATCTCAAACATTGCGATGCCTGTTATTTATTTTAGAACCAAAAAAAATATATATATATATATATTGAAGCAGCTTCTTTTACACATCCTTTGCCTCAATAATATAAGCACCCAGTTCACTCACACTCTAGCATTCCAATGTTTTCTTCATTAATTCTTAAAATCCACCATAATTTTTGTGGCCTTGTTTACAAATCATGTATTTGAGACATGCCATGTTTACGCGTAAATGAAATCAGTAGGTGATGTACTAACCTGTCTTTCATTTTGTAGAATGAAAAAGAACTAGCAATCGTAGAGGATGCTGCCCATCAAGCAACCTTGAAAAATTCAGAGAAGTACTGCAAGTTGATCTTGGGACAATTGTCGCGTGGACATGGCTGCATGAAGAGCATGGTGTTTATATCCGTTGCGTTGGCTGTTGGTGCCGCTGTCATGTCTCAGAATATGGACTCTTGGGACCTGAAGAAACTGTTGGTAGATGTCAACTTCCCTTACACCTTCTGAGTTTATGTTAGAGGCAGCTGATGGGTGATGGCTCATGTCATCCTTGCATATATAAATTATATCCGGCATAGATAAGCGTGATGACCCGTAGCAAAATTGGACAGAGAAAGAGTTCGTTCGGTTTTAATGAAAAATAGAAATAAGTGGCAGCAGCCATAGCGTCTGGGATCTTAGTTTACAGTGTTTGTGTTTCTGGTTTTCAGTAAGGTTTCATTTCAGTGTCTTCTTTCTTTAAGTTATAGCGTCTCGTGTTGTAAGTGTTAGTAGTGGCAGCAGCCGTAGTGTCCATGTTTGTGTGTCTGGTTGTCAGTGAGCTTTCATTTCAGTGACTTGTTTAAGTTCTGGTGACTTTTGTTGTAAGTGTTAATTCCGTTTTCTCGTTACATTTTCAAATATGCAAAATGGTTTTAGGAAGTGTCGAATGCATGTTCAATGAATCCTACTTGATTGCATGATGTGATACTCTCTCTGCTTATGTTGATTAATGATGGTTGTCGATTTCAGTAGGTCAGATCATTATGTGTTAGTATTTAGTCAGTGGGTGATATTGTGTCATCGGTATTTCCGACTTGAGGGTGAAGCAAGGTTTGCTATTATGGCTTTCGAAATTACAGTATTTTGAATATAGTTTTTCCATGAACTAATTTCTTTTTGAAGTGGTAAGCAATCATTGAACGTCAATACCAGGTCTTCAAAATTTTAGCTGGACTTAACCCCATTCGCTAATTTTATTAAATCCAAAATTTGAAATCGTGTTTCTTATGTAGTAAAAGTAATGATACATTCTTCGAAAGATGCGGAATAAAACTATGTTTCTTACCGAAAAATGAATTCAGTTAGGTTATGTCCAACCGAACTGTTTTAATAGCTCTCGAATAGCTCTCGGCAGTATTGGAATGCAACACCGCATATAATTAACCAAAATTACATGTGGGATTTGGAAATTTTAGCAACCCGTCAATGAATAGAAAATTTTTGTTAATTAAAAATAAATTACCTCTTGAAACGCCCTCTGTGCCGATTATCCCTCTCGGGAATCGCTCTGTATCCGCATTTGAAGAGTACATGGAAACCCATTCTGGGTTGGTCTTGGACTTGGAGAATCCGGAAATGGAGGAATGTCCGGACTTTAAAAAATTAAATAAGCATAGAGGGGTGCTAATCACAGACGTTTCCGTGATTGTGAAATCTAAATCGCTAGTTTAACGGTTGACGCGTGTATTTCCTTTTTCCATAATTAATTATTATTTTTTTGCTAACTTCCTTTTGGGTCTCTCATTATATATAATTATTATACTAGCCTCCTAATTGATAAACTAAACCATTAGCATAAATTCTCTCTTCAGAAACTTCCATGGCTCCTTCTCACTTCAAAATTTTATTTGTTACAAAATTCCATATCTAAATGTTTGAAGTTTTAACATTAAAATTTTCGTTTTTACAAAAGCCCATATCTAAATGTTTGAAGTTCAAATCTGAATTTTTTAAAATCCGTATTCTTTGTATTCGAATTATTGTTCTGATTTTTCAAATTAAAAAAGTAAAAAAAAATTATCATAAAATAAAAAGAAAAAAGTATTATAATCTGGTTCTTTTTTTAAAATTATATGATTTTTTCAGATCCATATTCTATGTTTCGAAGTATTCTGTTGTTTTTCAAATAAAAAAAATAAAATCAAATGAAAAACAAGTATAATCTAAAAAAATTTTATAGTACTTTTTTCTTTTTATTTTATGATAATTTTTTTATTTTTTATTTTTATTATTATTAATTTTTTAATTTGAAAAATCAAATAATACTTCGAATACAAAGAATACGGATCTGAAAAAAATCAGATTTGAACTTCAAACATTTAAATATGGACTTTTGTAAAAAAGAAAATTTTATTGTTGGAACCTCAAACATTTAGATTTGGAATTTTGTAGCAAATAAAATTTTAAAGTAAGAAAAAACCGTCGAAGTTTCTGAAAAGAGGATTTATGCTAATGGTTTATCAGTTAGGAGGTTAGTATAGTAATTATATATAATGAGAGACTCAAAAGAAAGTTAGGCCTATTGCTTACTTGGGCCTGCCTTTGCTGCCTTGTGGATTGAGAATAGTTCACTGTAGCCCTTTGATTGACAAATTTACCAATAAAATCAATGTGTGGAATGGAAAGTGTCTCCTATGGCTGGTAGATTAGAACTGATGAAATCAGTTTTAACATCTTATGTGTACTTTTGGTGTTCTATTTACACATTGCCAAGAGTTGTTGTTAAATATTTAGAGAAGAATATGGGGGACTTTATATGGGGCTCTATTACTGAACACAAGAAAGTGCATGCTTTGAGTTGGAATAAGGAAGCTGGGTTTGGGGTGAGGAAAATTGCAGACATTAATTCTACCTCAATGTGCCGACTGGTTTGGACCTTCCTTCAATCCAAAGACTGCCTCTGGGTTGCTTGGTTTAGATGGAAATATACTCGAATTGTATTCTACTGGAATTATCAATCTGGGAAAACAGATCATATGCTATGGAAGAAGATACTAGAGGTCAGGGAATTCATGTTGCAAAATGTCAATTTTTAGATTGGAGATGGACAGTCTACTTTTTTGTTTACTGATCCATGGGTTCAAGGGGAAAGTTTGGTGACTAAATATGGACATAGAGTCCATAGAGACTTTGATCTGGCCAAGCAAGCAAAATTATCTTCCATTATTTAGAACGGTCAGTGGCAATTCCCACATCAGAACTCCAATACTTTACACCAGTTCAAGAACTTTGCTCTCTCTCTGACATTGAAGCAAGGTGATAACAGGTTTCAGTGGAGACATGGTGTCTTCTCTTTTGGAAATGTTTGGAATAGGTGGAGAAATCCACACCCAGAGGTGCAGTGGTTTTCAGTTTGTTGGAGTGGAGTAAGACCTAGAGCTTCTCTGGTCTGTTGTCTGGCAATGCAGAATAAGCTTTTAACCTTTGAAAATCTAAAGAAGAGGGGGCTGCCTTTAGTGGCTATCTATCATAACTGCATGAACTCAGCCGATGATGTAGATCATCTTACTGTCAATTGTCCATTTGCTAAAGCAATTTGGTAATGGTTGTCTGATGTTCTTGGGTGGAATATGCCTCCAGTCATTTCGTTAACTCAATTAGTGGATTGGTTTGTCACCAAAGGAATTAAACATAAGGCCCAAAAACGTATTTGTGCAACTACTGTTTGGTATGTATGGAATGAGAGGAATTTGCGATTGCATCAGGAGGTTTGGAGAACTGCTATGGAAATTGCTAGAGCTATTTGTGGAGAGGTCCTAATGTTGTCTGGGATGGAGATGGGAAAGTTATGCTCTCAGTCTCTAGTTAATTGACACTTATTGTGTTTATCCTCTAGTTATCGTAGACAACTTGTTTCCAAGGGATGCCTTGTTGATGATTTGTAATTTTGTTTTATATCTATAGAAATTTTCCACTTTACCCGGGGAAAAAAAGAAAAAGGAAGTTAGCAAACAAATAATAATTAATTATGAAAAAAAGAAATACACGCATCAACTGTTAAATTAGCGACTGAAATTTCACAATCGGGAGGACAACTGCAATAAGCACCTCTCAATAAGCATATTACTCCCCTTTGTAAAACATTCCTAACCTTCACTCACTTTAGTACAAACGAGGAATCATAATGTTAGTTTACCGGAGTTTTGAAAAGACTTAAATACCCTTCTCAAATATAAAAAAAATAAAAAATAAAAAATGCAAAAGGACGAAAAAGAACAAACACAACGGTGTCGTTTGTCGTGCCCCATCTTTCGCTCTATATCTTCCGCCACCTCCCTACAAAAACCCTAACTCCTACGTTACCCCTCTCGAGAAGCTCAATCCAAATTCACTTCAATTGACGTCGACGAAGCCTCGCACGCCCAATCGGACCCCGATACGGCCAACACTTTCATACCATTCCTTATCTTCTTCCGCAACAAAACCAGGAGTTCAATCATACCCAGTAACTATACTTAACCCAAATTTTATGTTTAAATCGCATTTGAGCTCTTCAACTTCAAAACTTCACATTGAATTCGAGTTCAACAGTTCAAATTTTATGTTTAAATTGCATTTGAGCTCTTGAATTTCAAAGGTTCACATTGAATCCGAGCTCAACAGTGCTACCCTCACCCACAACCAGATGTTTTTTATGTTTAAATTGCATGGTGTATCTCTTTGATTGACATCTATAACTACTATTGTTGAGGATCCATTTTGTTTAGATAAATTTTAAATCTGATACTTCTATTTTATTTATTGTGTTAATTGTGTTCTATGTATGTGTTTTCTTCTTGTTGTCCTGCACACTTTTGATGAATTTCTCCAAGGATGGATACATGTTTTTGAACCTTTTATTTATTTATTTATTTTTATACGCAAATATGGTATATATTGAACATGTTTGCCACATAAAATATCAATCTAAGTTGACATGCATTTGGCGGTGGATTAGGTTTTAGGTTAGAGAAGAGAAAGAGGTTCGGTCATCCATATTTAAATGAAAGCAGAAGTATTTTAATCAGACATACCACCTTTTAGCCTCTTTTACTTGTTAAGTATAATCATCCTAAAAAAATTTAGATTGTTGTAGATTACTATGAGTAGATGAGTGTTTTTGATGGATGAGAAGATTTCATTCATTTGCATTTCTTTACATTGTAAGATTGTAGTTTTAGCTTCTAATTAGATGATTATTTTATTGCAATGATTTGCTGTTTATTTAATTGATCTCATTTGTATTTATGTATGTTGCTAAATGTGTTTTTATATGCAGTTTGATTCGAAGACAAGCAATTGGACAAAAATATATCCTTTGAAGAGATGGCTCGATTTAGAAATGTAAGCACTTGAATATACTCTGTTATGGTTTCACCCTTCATTGCTTGGTTGAGATGAATGAGGAAAATAAAATAAATTCTATTTTTGTTTTCAGGAAAACAACAAGAAATAAAAGATAAAAAATAAAAGGAAGCTTTTGTAGTTTCATCACATTTTCCACCATACGAAGCTAAACTTAACTCATTTCAACTCAATATAACTTTATCCTAAATATTGAAGGTTGTGTATGTGAATTCTATTTTGCAATTCTACTATATTTGAGACCTTAAATTCAGTGAAACCACACATTGTCGTATCCTATATCATTAGATATGTATTTAGGTGACCAAGGACTGTAGCCTAGTGGTCCTTCCTTACCTTCCCGAGTAGAAAGTCAAGGGTTCAAGTCCCCTTAGGGGCAAAGTGAGTGTGTGACAGTGTGAGTGAGTTTCTTGCCGGGGTATTTTTTATTTTTTGAAGTATGTTTTTAGGTGCATGTTCAACCAAAATTGTTGGACAGACATCTCATACCCAAATCTGAAGTGTTTTCGACTCGGGTACCTTAACCCACTTTAGAGTCCATGGAGCATAGGTCATATTTTTTCTTACTATCTCAATCTGTGTTGAGCTTGAACTCCTCTCTACGGATAAACCTCTACCGGTGAGGAGTTAATCTCTACGGATAAATCTCTTGAGGCACTCTACAATCCCACAGGGGGTGGGACCTCAGATCAGTGCCCCTACTTTGGGAACCTAGGGAGTGTTGGCTCTGTGGCTGAAGTTTGAGCAATGCCAATGTATAGAGGACCGCCCATCATTCAAAGTGATGTGGCCTCACTTGGCCTGTCATGGAGGAAGGAACTGTCTATCTCCTAAGGCAGGAAGAACTACCCTATCCTCTCATTTACTGCGAGTTCCCTATTGTCAGAAGTACATCAAATGCCACGTCCTTCTGGTCCCTCACTTGACAATCAAAGGGACAAATTCTGTCAAGAACCCCCATGAGGCCATGCCCCAGTGGGTAAGGTCCAAAGGGTATTACTTCAGACCTTCGTTTCTGTTCACCTTGAATTTAGTATCATTAGGAAGTTAAATGTTTCATTTAAGAAGAGGAACAACCACATAACACCTCACTGATAATGGTACTGCTACAATCCTGCCGTCGAGGATATTAGAAGGGACTCCTGTGCTCTTCCTAGTGTCTATTCATTGAGCCCCTCTGTGGCAGCTCAGACTCCCACCCAGACGTCTATTCTCTAATGACCTCTATTGTGGCAAGATTGACCTCATCGCCTAGAACCTCATACCAACAAATTCCATAGTCAATGCTCTATTAGGCGTGTCTCTTTTATCATGTCAATGCATCTATCTATTTATTATATATTCAAGGATCTACCCTAGACTTCCTTCCATAATAAAAAATTATCGAAGAATTTCTCTACAACATTTTATTAGTATTGTCAATAAGTAAATAATGTCTGTTAACTTACCTGACACAATCCAAATTGATTTCTTAAGTTCAAACACTACTTTTTTTTTTTTTTTCTTTTTTCCAAATCAATGGCTGTTTAATCACACTTTTGTAAAATTTCGTGGCGCTAAGCTTCAATAGAAATACCATCAGGTCCTAAAATTTTTCCTCTTTTCATCTTCCTTAGTACATTTTTTTTTTTTTTTTTTTTTGGTTTTGGAACCCTAATCTTAAGAAAATATTTGTAATCTCTATTCTCCTTTAGGTTATCACGCTCTTCTAAGTCTTGGCCTGGCTTCCTATATACTTCTTAATCAATTTAAGCTTCCCTAAGATATAAGATATCCATCCATGTATTTGCGCTGCCTTTGAATTATTTATGTGAATTGAATCAGAAGAAGAGAAAGGTGTTTGTTAAGCCGGTTGTGAAGAAGAACCAGCCAAGTGTTGATCACATAACAGGTGACAAAATCCCGAAAAGCTTTGTCTTTTCGCGAGGTAAGTTGCCTAGTGCTCTCAGGCAACTGCAGATGGATTTGAGAAAGTTGATGCTTCCCCACACTGCCCTCAAGCTCAAGGTAAACTTCATTTATTAATTCATTCGGTTTTGCTAAACTTATAGTCTTGTACATTTTGTATTCAATCATATCGTACAGAAGTGGCTAAAGCAACTTTGGTTGATTTTTAAAGAAAAATGTAGCTTCTAACTGACATATAAGTTGGCATAATTTGGAAAATCTAATCTCAATTTAACAAATTTTAGCTTCAATGAGTTAAATGGTGTTTGATAAAATTGAAAATTGACTAAGACATGTTTCTACTGAATGTGTGGGATTGAGAATTCAACTTTATACTTGAAATCTGAAGTAAGTTTTAAAATATTCACTTAGCGCATTTAGCATTCATTGAGAAGTCAAGTTTCTTTGACTTGAGTTTGGAGCTCTTTGTAATTGTAAATTACTTCATGAAAGTAAACTTTGTATTTCCTATTGCACTTGATGGAAAAAACACTAGAAGCTCAGATTTAAGCATTTAGTCAGTGCAAGACGTGTCTAACAATCAGGGAGCCTTTGAAACCCTTTTGGTTCATTCTATATTTTTTCCCTTCTGTATTGTGAGTTTATTAGATTTTGCAAAATTAAATATTAAGAAATATAATTTATATAGGGAAGGTAATTTTTTTTTGTTTGTGAAATCTATGTTTTGGTGTGTGATATTGTTAATTTAATCAGGTTTGTACTTTGGTATTATATTCAAATAAAGCAATTGCTAAGTGACCTGGAAGAGTTTTGAGGTTTCAAATCAGGCATTTCAGTTAGAACTGCAGTGTAGACATGAAGGGGAAGTAGTACTGAAATTAATTGGCTTCCTTTTTTTTTTTTAATAATTTCAGACTTTTTAATCTTTATTTTTTCCAACAAACAAAATGGAGTAGTTCCTATTGTAATTTGTGTTTAATTCTATTACCAGCCTAAAAATAGTGGGTGCACAATCCTTGTAGTTTACATGTAGGTCTATCTGTTCGGCTGCTATACTTATTTGTTGTGCCATTAGTTCTCTGATTAGCCAAGTTGATACCTATTTAATTGGTTTGCACTTGCAGGAAAAGAAGAGGAATAATCTCAGAGACTTCTTGAACGTTGCAGGTCCCATGGGTGTTACACATTTCCTCATATTATCAAAAACTGAAAGTGCACCATACTTGAGGGTTGCCAGGACCCCACAAGGCCCAACCCTTACATTTAAAATACATGAGTACTCATTGGCTGTTGATATTGCTCAGTCTCAGTTGCGTCCTAGATGTCCTCAAGATCTTTTCAAAAATTCACCATTGGTAATTTACTAAAGAGCAAATACTTTGATGTGTACGCACATGCATGCACATGCATTTTCTTCTTACAGTCGCATATTTATGGATTACCACCAGCAATCTTGCACAAGAATTTGGTCACCTTATGTAATTCGAGATGGAATACCAAGACATGCGTATTAATGGTGTTTTGGACATGCCATTTGATAAGTTATACTTTTGACTGCTTCTCACTGAGTGAGATTATGATCAATTGTTCACCACCACACAAATTTGATATGCTTCTGGTCTCTTAGTGTGAATGTATTGGTTCCGGATGCTAGCGTAACATGATCAAGATAATCTGTTGCTGTAGATGAACCCCTAATTGCAGCCCTAGGACCGGTAGGTTCAGGGTCTCCTTCACATTTACATGACTCCTGTGTATTAAATTGCTGATGTTATATTCTTCTATATGAAAGTGGTGAAAAATACAAATGACTGACTATACATTTAACTCATGAATGATATGCAGTTGGGACTTGGAGGTGACCAATTATGGATATTTAGATTTTGATGTTATTCATCTGATGTTCTTATACCCACTTTGATTCTTGAACTGAAATTTGGCAGATTGTCCTTTCTGGTTTTGGCACGGGGGAGCAACATCTAAAACTCACAACTATTATGTTTCAGAACATTTTCCCAGCGATTGATATTAACACGGTGAGTGCAGACAATGTCAATCAATTGTTGATGTCAGCTCAGATATTGACTTTCCTCTACCTGTTGCACATGTTGCAGGTCAAACTTCCTTCGTGCCAGAGAATCGTTTTGCTTAATTATAACAAGGAGACAAAGCTTATTGATTTTCGACATTATTCCATCAGATTACAGCCCGTTGGTGTCTCACGCAGAATCAGGAAATTTGTGCAGAACCATCAAGTGCCTGATTTAAGAAGTCTTCAGGATGTGAGCGACTTTGTCACGAAGTATGTATTTCTCTCAAGAAAATATTATTTTGTGATACCTTGTTACATTGGATTGTCTAAATTTACTCCCTTTTCTTTTCAATATATGTTTAACTTTCCATTTTTATTCCTGGAGGGCTGGTTATGGATCAGAAAGTGAAGTAGATGATGAAGCGGCAACTGTAACTCTAGAAAGTGATCTTGGTCGAGTTAACAGAGCCTCAACAAAAAGTGCTGTCAAGCTTCAAGAGGTTGGACCCAGGATGACTCTTCAACTCATCAAAATCGAGGAAGGATTGTGTGCTGGTGGAGTCATATTTAGTGAGTATGGTATGTCATCTCGCATATAATTTACCTTTTCCTTTTGCTTTGTTGGAAAGCACAAAAATGATTATACGGGAATCCTCTTCAATGTGAGATTGTGAATATCCTTGGCACCTTCTGTTAAGATTATTGTTGAGCCATCATGGAGAGCTGATCCTTCCACCATATATATACTTGTTCATTCGATATAATAGTTGCTCTAAATAGAAGTTCTCTGTAGAATTACATAGTTTAATGTCAGTGTTGCTCTTTTTTAATAAATCTCCACGTGAGCCTTTGAAGGCAGCATCCAATATAGGCTACTATGCTTTTATTTTTGCCTTGTGATTCTGGCTTACAAAATGATTTTCATCCGGTTGCTATTTGCCTTGCCTATAATAAAACTCTATTTCTCACTTCCTCCTTTACCTTGGTAGGAAAGATTAACCTTGTAAACCTTTTACATGCTTTACCACTTAATGGCTGATTCTAATCTCTTCGAATACCTTTCCTCTCATTGTCAAATTGTCCTTGTGTCCTCTCATATGACATGCTAACATAGTCTTTAGGTACCCCAATATCTGCCAATTGGTTCCATGGATAAGACATAACCCTTACACAAGTTCGAAATAACCCCATCTAGCTTATTTTGCCCAACTTTCACACAACCTTGCCCTGTTTGTTGACCCATTCCCGTCTAGCTCTGTTGCTTGTCTAGTCTTTTGTCTCCTGCTATGTGGTGAAACGATAATGTCTAGCAGAGTGCTTTCTTAACTTCATCAACCATTATAAACTGCTCTTTCGGAGCACCTAAAAAGTGCCTGTTGTTTTATGCATACACACACATTCACATGTGGTGGCCCAGTCACAACTAAAACTTTTATAGTGGATTGTGATATCTATATAATCTTCTTCTCATTGGCCTCAGTTTTCCTTTCAGGAAATAGTGGTGAGAAGAAAAAAACGGAATTTCAGGAAGAGGAAGAGGAAGTTCAGGAAGAGGAAGAGGAAGAGGAAGAGGAAGATATGGAGGAAGACTAGCTCTTATCTAACTTGCAAAACGAAGAAGAAGACTGTACTTTTGCCACTGAAAAACACACTTGTATGATGTGTTTTTAATCATTTGGTTCGTCCACAGCTCCTTGTTTCGGGGACAGCTCTACAGGAATTAATAGTGCCCATCGGATGAGATTATAGTTTTGTTATCCAAAAATTTTCAGGCATAATATGCTTCCTATTTTTTTTTTTTGTTGGAAAATGAGATGTAGATTTTTCAGATATAGAAAATGAGATGTAGATTTATCTCAGGGATTAGCAAGCAAACTAGCCTTTTCTTGGAAGATTGGCTGATACCATTTGAAAGGACATCATGATCTAATTATATTGTTAAAAAAATTGGCATTTTTACTGGTGAGGTTTCTTGATGTAGACTTATAGAGAGTTTGAAATTCATGTAGATAATTTAGTTGCTTCTCTAGTAGAGAAACCTTTTCCCACCTCTATATATAGGACAAGAGTCTTACAATAAATTGTTTTCCGCATAAGTGTCAACAATCTAATGGTTGGAGAATTCTAGAATGTGGTTCTACAAGCTCCAAAGAATAATCTAATACAAAAAGAATTGTAAGCTACTCTATTCAAATTTTGCTAATTTTCTCAATTTTAGATTCATGTATCCAGAGTTGCTAAACATTGCATTAGGATTTAAAGTGCTAGCATTTCTATCTTCCCAAAAGTAATGGTTTGCTGGAAAGCTAAAACGCACCACTAGAAGCCATATAACATGGGATTGGATCCCATTCGCTCATTGCCTGTCGGGTTGCCGCTATATCCAATGGCAGGAGTGCTAGCCACACTGCTAGGGCGACCATGGCTCAACACTCGCGTGAAAAAGTGTCCTCCAATTCATTTTGAGAAAGCGTGAAATGCTCATCAATCCATGATACTTCATCAAATTACTAATTATGTCACTAATAGAACAAATGAGTATGTGAGTGACTTTACTTACCTAAAAATATTTTATGAAACTTTTGAGCTCGGAGCATGTCTTCTCGTCCTGTGTGATTTTGGGGATTAGTATTATTATTCTTTCTTAGTATAATACATGTAATTCTGGGGTTTGGTTCAGTACCTTTAATCATTTTCTTTCATTGAATATCTTTGTTTACATAACAAAAATCAGAAAAAAAAATGTTTTGAAAAGCCAGAAAAAAAAAAACGTTAGTGAGAAAGTTGGAGACACAAAAGCACAAAGCAGAGAGGCCATGATCCCAACACATTCATTTACAGCTTTATATATACAGAGAGTTAGGCTTTCAGCTCTCTAGTCATTATCACAGTCCCCTCATTTTGATCCACTTTGTTTCACTTTTATATTTTCAACTTCTTCTTTCTTCTTGCTTTTCCAATCATGTTGCCCATTCTTGACAGCTATGTTTCATCATTTCCTGCCATCCACTATATTTTACAATACACAAAATTTAAAATTCTCATTATTTTATACTTGTATATGAACTAATTTCAAATTCTTTATATTACATTTATGTGTGAGTATTTAAGCTACATTATTTACTACTTATATAATAAAAAAAAGAAGCAAAATCAATAATACTCTCCTGTCCCAACCTATAAAGGATACGTTGGTGCGCTAAAAACTATTTTATGTTCTTAATTTTTTTTTTTTATTTAAAAAAAGCAAATATATATATATATATATATATATATATATATATTCCAAAATGCTTAATGGTGCAGTTAGTCAAAATAAATAAATAGTATTAATAAAAATGATTTTTAATAAAATAAAATAAAACCTCAATGGTGTGACTTGTGAGTGCTTCTTTAGCTGAACCATCCTAATTCCTAGGTGGGCGCGCAAGAAACACTTTTTATAAGTGAGCTATGAATGTGGTGGTGGGCCACCTCTTCCGCGTGTTGTGGGCCTTTAGCCCAGCTAACAAGTAAACTTTTTCTAAAAGTCTTTTTGTCACTTTAATTGCAACAATAAGGGTTTAATTTTTAAACCATAATCCACTAATTTTGGAGAAGTTTCACATTGTTAGATTTTGTTTTTCTTATCCACAATGTGAAATATAAGTGAAGGTTTGACCTATACCTTCATTCTATCTTTGATATAACGGCTATGTAGAATTTTGTTACACATACTATTTATATATACATATATAAAGATAAGTTGAATTTCTTTATATATACTTAAAATCAAAATGAAATAGAAAAACTATTGATATAAAGTTAAGGAAAAATATATTATTTTAATGAAAATAATACTACTCAGTCAGGGAAAAGAAAAAAAAAAAACCATATTTGGGCCTTATTTATCTAAGGAAGAGCTCATTTTCATTCTCTCTTCTCAGGGAGAGTATCATTACTCATTTTTGAATGATCAATTAATATTTGATCACACCAATTCAACTAATTTATAATCATCTGGAGTGAATGCATCTAACTATTATTTGTTGAGTCGGCATGGAAAGTCGAATCTATTTTATAGACATGCATAGCATTACTGTATAATTAATGTTTTGAAGTATGTGTCATTAACATTATGAATAAATATCCAAAAGTATTTATGAGAGTGGAGATAACTATTATAATTTCAGCTATCATGATGACGTCATCCCCACTCAAATAAAATAATCGGATATGAATGCTAACATAACCTATACTTAATAATGTAATTTTCCAATGCTTAGTAAATATAAAGTAAAATGCTAAAATATTCCATAAACTGTACACAATCACATAGTATTATTTTGTTAATGCAGCACTCTTTTGAAAAAAAACATCTATGGTTCTCTCTGCTACAAACTAGCATCTGCTAATTCTCTCCATTCTCAAAGCTTCAGAAAACTCTCTCCCACTGTGTGTGTGTGTGTGTGTGTGTAAATAACAAGTGAGCATTGCAACATCCATGGCTGCCAACAAGTTTGCAACAATGTTGCATAGAAACACCCACAAAATCACAGTAATTCTAGTCTACACACTCCTTGAGTGGGTATTGATTCTTCTCCTCCTCCTCAACTCACTCTTTTCATTTCTCATCACCAAATTTGCAAACTACTTTGGCCTCAAACCACCCTGCCTATGGTGTTCAAGACTTGATCACATCCTAGACCCCAACAAGACCAAAAATTCCTACAAAGATCTTGTCTGCGAAACACATGCCAATGAGATTTCCAAGCTGAGTTATTGTCCAAACCACCAAAAACTGGCAGAGTCCCACAACTTGTGCATGGATTGCGTGTCCACGCAGCCGAAATGCAACAAAAACTCCACTGAAATCTCAAGAAGAATTGCTTTCTTTACATGGGTGAGTGAGAACAAATTTGAAAATGGTGATCAGAAGACTACTTCTAAATGTTCTTGCTGTGAGGAGAGCTTAAGCAGCAATATATACCCTTTTAATTTACTGTTTAAGCCCTCTTGGGAAGTTTTGGAAAACACCCCTAAAGCAAATTTGATTACAGAGACATTGGATGAGTACTCAGACACATGTAAGTCTGATAGTTCAGCAGAGCATGTCAACAATGACCATGATATCGAACGAAAGAAAGAAGATGAAGAAGAAAAAGTTGAAGATGAACATCAGATTCTTTCTGATGTTGAAAGTTTTAGCTTTGAAGCTGCAGTGGATGAGAAGGCAGATCCCAATTCTCAAGAGCATGAATCAAGTCGTTCGGATTCTTCTCATCGATGTCCCGATGCTGCTTCCATCATTCAAACATGTTTTGATGAAGATGAATCACTTCAGCTCATGAATCTTCCTCCATTGGGTTATGGTTGTCGCGATTTTGATCGCTTGAGACCTGTTGAATTGATTGATTCCTCAACTGTTGAGGAAGATCTGGTGGGAATTCTTGACCATCTAAATGGGGATTTTGATTCTGAGCCATGGATTGAATCTCAAGTTCAATTAGTAGAAGAGGCTTCTTTACATGGTGATAGTGCAGAGAAGGCAAGGTATGGAGTGGTAGAAGCTTTTGAGATTAGTGGGATTGAGAACTTCTCAATTCTAGTGGTTGAACAGATGATAGAAGATTTGTTGGTTGTGACATGTGAACAATTAATTGTTACTCAAGTTTCTCAGACCTCATGTATCAGTGACAACAATGTGGAAGCAACAACCATTAGAGAACCAGATAATCCACAAGGTACATATATATATATATATATATATATATATGTAAGTTGTATAAATTTATATAATTTTCTTCTAATACTCTTATTTTTGCCACCACAAAATTTCATCTATATTTGTGCTAGATCAATTTACAATTTATTGATTGTAATCAGCAGGTGAAGAAGAAGATGCGCCGGCTAATCAAACTCAAGCTAAAGAACCAACTCTATTGCCATGTCTACAAGTAGATCAATCCTCCATGCAAAACAAGAATGTCAAAATTTCCACTTCCTCTAATGCATTCATATTTGGGAATGACCTAGGTAAATCTCATCTACAATTTAACTCCTCCTCTAATCAAACATTAATTTTATTTATATCATAAGAGTAAGTGGATTCTAATGATCAAAATTTGGTGTTGAAAGGTTCAAAGCAAATTGAGAAAGCTACCATACAAGAAAGAAAAGTTTTGGATGATAAGAATCATGAAGAGGTAAACCAAAATTTATCTGCTGAATTGGAGGCCAATGAGGTGGAGGAAGATAAGCTTTCCGACGCAGCCAATTACATGGAAGGCCTCCACCACCTACATAAGAAATTGTTGGTGTTTGATAAGAGAGAATCAGGAGCAGAGGAGTCTTGGGATGGAAGTGTGGTGAGTGAGGTGGAATGTGGTGATGGGGTTCTGACCGTTGAGAGGCTAAAATCAGCGTTGAGAGCTGAACGCAAGGCTCTATGTGGTTTATACGCGGAGCTAGAAGCAGAGAGGAGTGCTGCTGCAATAGCTGCCAATCAGACAATGGCCATGATAACAAGGCTCCAAGAAGAGAAGGCCGCGATGCAGATGGAAGCGTTGCAATACCAGAGGATGATGGAGGAACAATCCGAGTATGACCAGGAAGCATTGCAGCTTCTGAATGAGCTCATGACAAAGAGAGAGAACGAGAAACAGGAGCTTGAAAAGGAGCTGGAAATGTATCGTAAGAAGGTTTTGGAATACGAAGCAAAAGAGAGGATGTTGAGAAGGAAAGATGGGAGTTTTAGAAGTAGAACCTCTTCTGCTTCTTGTAGCAATGCTGCTGAGGATGTTGATGAGCTATCTATTGATCTTAATCGCGACAGAAGGGATGAAGATGATAGCTTTTGTGGCCATCAAGACGGTGACAACAACAATGCTCCTGCTGATGAAGTTCCAAATTTGGGAGAAATTGTGCTAGATTGTGTCAAGGATTTGAGTACACTAGATGAGTCAATGGCGGAATTTGAGGAAGAAAGGCTGTCCATTTTAGAGGAGCTCAAAGCGTTGGAGGAGAAGCTTTTCACATTGGCCGATGAAGAGGGACATACGTTTGAGGATGTTAAACCAATAGAGCATTTCACACATGATTATGGCAAAGAATTCTGCGACAATTATGGTCATGTTAGCAGTCCTGTTGAAAATGAGGTTTCAAATGTGTTATCCGAGGCTTTGAATGGTAAGGATTATTCAGAGAACAAAATAATTGGTTCCAAAGCAAAAAGGCTTCTTCCTCTTTTTGATGCAACTGGTGTCGAAATAGGAGAAGTGGAGTCGAATACAGAACAGGACAACTCTGGCTATGCTGAATTGCGTAGCTCCTTGGATTCCGACTTTGAAGTGGAGGGCAAGAAAATTCCCGTTGAAGAGGAGGTAGATCATATCTATGAGAGGCTACAAGCTCTTGAAGCAAATAGGGAGTTTCTAAAGCATTGTATTGGCTCATTGAATAAAGGAGACAAAGGAATGGATCTTCTTCAAGAAATTCTGCAACATCTTCGCGATCTAAAGACCATGGAACACAATGTGAGAAACATTGGTGATAGTCCTCTTTTTTGATCTTGCACTTGCCTTCTACAATTGAGAAAATGTGAGGTAAATAGTGGTCCTTTTCATATACTACATTCTTTCTGATATGTTTCAAATGGAGATTGTTATTTCACAGCCTAAAGAACTGCATCCGCCGCCCTCACATGTGAGAGGAAGGGCAGCGAATATCGGCCTTTAGGCGGTGGGCTTTGCCCCCCTCCCTTGAAGAAGTTGATACGGTTTTTATATCGAAGTTTTTCTTTGTTAGAAAAATGCAGATTGGAGTCTTGGAGTTCACTTGCAGGTTAAGTTGTGTGAGAGATTGGATTGATCATGTTGAAAAGGAATGCACTGAAAGAGCAGACTACAAACTAATGGCTGGCCACATTTTTCTCTGGATTTCTAGGATCCAAAGTTTTTGAAGATTCTCATCAACTCCTCTTTACCACTTTTTTCAGAGGAAGGTGAAAATGGTTTTGGGAAAGGAGTAAAAAAGATGTTCAATGCATTTCTATACCTGTGTATAAGCTGGTTACTTGGCCTAACCAAGGCTAGTAAAAACATATTTCCTTTCTTTTGTTGGGGAGGAACAAACTTTTTTGCATTTTGATGGTCTTGTTTACTGAGATCAAAGCAAAATTTGAATTGATGTGTAAACATTTATCAGATTGTATTTAAAGATTGTCATCACCAATGGAGTTGCTAATAAGCAGTCATATGAATAGTATGCAAACATAGTCATTGGCAGGCACCTACAGGATCAATATTCTTGTTGTCTGGCAATTCATTCTCCGGTTACAGACATTGATTACCCTGATGAGTGATGCTAGTGAAAGTCGTGACTATCAGCCATGTGGGGACCACCTCATCCAATCGCCTCGCTAGCATCTCTCTTCTTGTTTGGGAACACCGAATATAGGGCTATATCTTTTACTTGTGAAACTGAAATCTCAAACAACATTTGGTTTTGAAAACCTCATTTTGCATGGCATATCTAAGTGAATTGCCAATGGGAACAAACATCCAATTTTCAGCCATTTAGCCTTCTCTAACAAAGCACCTTTTTAAATATAATTATTCTAAATTATAGATTGATAATATCAATAATATTTGCCCTACTAATGATGTGATCCAATAATAAATACATAAAATGCTAAATACGGACTACACTTGCCCAAACTCTTTTGGGTATTTCTTGTTATAGGCCAGAAAGACACTTCTTGGGTTATAAGCCCTTTTGGGTTGGGGCCTAAAACCTTTTGGATTATGGGCTTCTCCACTATTTGAGACCCCAGGAGTCCATTTGTTGGTGGGCAAACCCTTTAACCCAAAAGAGAGAGGCCCAAAATTTCATGTCCTGCACAGAGAATCAAATTTTGGTACTAGATTTGGGTGGGGTGCGCCAATCCAAGGCAATAGTGAAACGCCAAGGCGACACTCAAGACCCCAGCAGCGGCAAGGTACTGTGGTGAGCCCTCCCCCCTCAAAAAATAAATTTAATATCGTGTGGGCCATTAGCCCACGTATCAGATATTAAACTGATTAAAACAAATACTACACTTGATATTAGTCAAAAGGCCGAGAAAGGTATGCTTTGAATAGAATTGGACCTCTTTTTTATATAATGAGCTACTCTCCCACTCTTCTTATTCATAACCAATGTGGGACAAAAGAGTAGAATCTACATACATATTTACCAAACAAACTCTTGAGTTCTGTTTGGGTACTTGCTCAGATATTTTTTGAACTCTTATTTGAAAACCAATTGAAACCCATTGTTATTCGTCAAAGGTTCAATTATTCAATGGCTAGAATTAGACAAGGATCTATAGCTCGGAAATGTAAAACAAAATTTTGTTTATTTGCGTCAAGCTTTTGAGGGGCTCATTCAACACCAAATCAAAGATAGGCAAAAGAAAAATAAGTGACTTGAAACCATTACTTGGTTGGCAGATGGCTGCATCTGCCAAACCAGTTTTGTTTGTCTCATTTCTTTTCTTTTTTGCTGTCAAGTGTCTTTTACTTCCTATGGTGCACATTAGATCTGTGGTACAACAATTTTGCATTGAATTGCCAATTGGCATATCTAAGTGAATTGCCAGTTGGAACATCCAATTTTCAAATATCATAAAATATGTATTTAAGTCAATTTTTTTTCACAAATGCAGATATTACAATTATACAAAGGATAATATTTACCTACTCACCCCATCAAAGTCTAATGTGATCTAATAAGAAATATACACTAAAAAAAACGTACTTCTATATCAAAAAAAGGCACTCGTAAAAAATATGTGAAAAAAGAAGGGATATTGGACAGCGCTAAAACCCTTTTCGTTAGCAAAATCTTTTTCTACCGAAAATTTTAAAAGCTTTTTTGTGTGACAAAACATATATCAGATTGTGTTTAAAATTTTAAATATTGTCATCACCAATGGAGTTGCTAATAGGCTAGTCATATGAATAGTATGCAAACATAGTCACTGGCAGGCACCTACAAGATCAATATTCTTGTTGTCTGGCAATTCATTCTCCAGTTACAGATATGGATTACCCTGATGAGTAATGCTAGTGACAGTCGTGACTATTAGCCATGTGAGGACCACGCTTGTCGCTAGCATCCCTCCGCGAATACCAAAATTGCCACGCTTGTCGCTAGCATCCCTCTTCTTGTTTTTGGAACACTGAATCGGGCTACATTTTTTGCCTGTGAAACTGAAATCTCAAATAACATTTGATATTGAAACCTGTAAGAGAAGTTGATTTTCTTCGGAAGGAATGTCAATAATAGTTGTACAAAGAAATGATTTCCCTTCACTTTTTTGCAGAGTTAATACCCCTAACATTTTGCATAGGCATATCTAAGTGAATTGCCAATGAGAACAAACATCCAATTTTCAGCTATTTAACCTATTCTAAAAAAGCACCTTTTTAAATATATTTATTCTAAATTATAAATTGATTTCTGTCATCATGAAATATGTATTTAAGTCAATTTTTTGTGCATACAAAAACTATACTTAACTCTCACCGTTCACAAATATCCTTCCAACACACCCATCACCTCTAATCACAAATACATACTACTACTTGACAAAAACGTTAACTCTTAGGGTATTTTTTGTTATGGGCCAGAAACACTCGTCCTTTTGGGTTTGGGCCTAAAAGAACCATAAATTATGGGCTTTTCCAAACTATTTAAGATCCTAACAAACAATTTTGGGAGTGCGTTTGTTGGTGGTGAAACCTTCTAACAAAAGGAGAGAGGAGCCCAAAATTTTGGTACTTGATTTGGGTGGGGTGTGCCAGGACGAGGCAATAGTGCAACGCCAAGGCGACGCTCGAGAGCCTCAGCAGCAAGCTACTGTGGTGGGCCCTCCACCTCAAAAAATAAATTTAATATCGAGTGGGCCATTGGCCAACGTATCAGATATTAAACTGATAAGAACATATATTACACTTGATCTTAGCCAAAAGGCCGAGAAATGTATGCTTTGAATATTGCTGGGCCTCCTTTTTTTATAATGAGCTACTCTCTCACTCTTCTTATTCAAAACCAATGTAGGACAAAAGAGTAGAATCTGCACAAACCCATAGTTATTTGTCAAAGTTTCAATTATTCAATGGCTAGAATTAGACAAGGATATATAGCTCCGAGATGTAAAACAAATTTTTTTTTATTTGCGTCAAGCTTTTGAGGGGCTCATTCAACACCAAATCAAAGCTAGGCAAACAAGAAATAAGTGACTTGAAACCATAGATTCAGCAATAATCTAGAGGGAATGAATGTTTGACTTAATCAAAGATCTACTAAGGTTTCAATTTGAACTTCCAAATTAGCTGTCAGAATGCTTCTGGCCCGATGTGTGTGTGTGAGATATGTATATATACTTCAATAGTCCAAATAAAGAAGAGATAAAAAAAAAGTCCCTGAATTTCCTACATTCCTGGTATGGTAGTCTTTCAAAGAGAATAATGCTAGTGACCGTCGTGCCTATTAGCCATGTGGAGACCACCTCTCTTGTCGCTAGCATCTCTCTTCTTGTTTGGGAGCACTGAATCGGCGGGTTACATTTTTTTTGCCTGTGAAACTGAAATCTCAAACAACACTTGGTATAGAAACTTGTAAGAGAAGTTGATTTTCTTCAGAAGGAACATGTCAATAGTTCTCAAAGAAATGATTTCCCTTCACTTTTTTTGCAGTCAATACCCCAACATTTTGCATTGAATTGCCAATTGGCATATCTAAGTGAATTGGAAAATCCAATTTTCAGCCATTTTGCCTTCTCTAACAAAACACCATTTTGAATATATTTATATTACGATTATGCAAAGAACAATACTTACCTACTCACCCGTCAGAGTCTAATGTGATTTAATAACAAATATACACTAAAAAAACGTACTTCAATATCTTTGAAAAAAGAAGGGATATTGCACTAAAAGTTTTTTTGTGCGTATAATGTGGTTCGATAAGAAATACACATATAATCCAATCCAATCACAAATACATGTATACACACTTGTCCAAAGTATGTTTTTTTGTTATAGGCTGAAAAAACACTTTTTTGGGTTATACAAGCCCTTCTGGGTTAACAGGCCTAAAAGTTACCTCTTTGGGTTGTAAGCCGTTATTACGGGGGACATATCAATATAGTTCATTGTTGGTGGGCTCATCATTAATGTAAGTAAAACTCTGCAAAGAGTTTCAAGCCTTGAATAGAGAATAAAATTTTGGTACTAAATTTGGGTGGGGTGTGCCAGGCCAAGGTAATAGTGCAACACCAAGGCGACGCTCAAGAGCCCCAGCAGCAAGCTACTGTGATGGACTCTCCCCCTCAAAAAATAAATTTAATATCGTGTGAGCCATTGGCCCACGTATCAGATATTAAACTGATAAGAACAGATACTACACTTGATCTTAGCCAAAAGGCCGAGAAAGGTATGCTTTGAACATAATTGGGCCACCTCTTTTATAATCACCTACTCTCTCCACTCTTCTTCCCATAACCGATGTGGGACAAAACAGTAGAATCTACACGTGTTGTCCTTTACGAAATAAACTTGCCCAGCTCTTGAGTTCTGTTTGGGTATGTGCTCTTGATATTTTTTGAGCACTTTTTTAGTTGAAACTTGAAACCCAATTGAAAGATTTGCTTTTAGAAGTTACATGTTTGGTGGAGAGTTTAAACAGGAAGAGAAAACGAGGAGGCGGAGAACTGGTATGTTCTTTCTTGCAGAAAAATAGGTCCATAGTATTCGTTCAATTATTCAATGACCAGAATTAAACAAGGATATATAGCTCGGAAACGTAGAATAAAAATTCGTTTATTTGCACCAAGCTTTCCAGGGGCTCATTCAAGACTTGCTCCAAGTATTAGCTTTGGTTTTCGCCGGGGTAGAGATAGGCAAAAGGAAACCTTGCTGAAACATCTAGCTTGCTTTCTCGTACGTCCTGTTGCTGACAAACAGTAGATTGTTTGCCATCCCCATTAACAACATTTTCTGAACCAACTTTATCCTCCCCTTTCTGAATGCCATCATATATTTGTGACGGCTCACCATCGCCGTAAGTGTTGTTCAACCTTTGCCGGGTAACAATCGACGAAAGAAGCTGATACCATCTTGAAATAGCTTGTCTCTCGATTCTCTTCTTTTCTTCAGCCTCTCTTCTCTCTTCTTCTTCTGCATATGCCTAAAGAACAAGTAACCAACAGAATTGAGATTCAGCAACTTCTGTCGAACTGATTTGGAATGCAATAATATATCAGTAAGTATATCATTGTATGGTGAAAGGATAGGTCGAGGAATACGTATTGAGGTTGCAAGATTCACAATATGAAAAATAACTGGGGCGTCATAACTAGGTGAACAAATAAAAAACCATAAAACATGCTTTGGATTCGGCAATTGAATGGAAAAATTAAGGACTCCACTGAAATGGTGTCCATCCGATAAATTGAGACTTGTCAAATTCTCATGAACACTAAATCGAAGATAGGCAAAAGATAAATGACTTGAAACCATAGATTCAGCAATAATCTAGAGGGACTGCAGGTTTGACTTAAATAAGAGATTACTGGAGTTTCGATTTGAACATCCAATTTGGCCGTCAGAATGCTTCTGGCCCCGATGCGTGTGTGTGTGAGATATATATATATATATATATACACACACACACTTCAATAGTCCAAATAAAGAAGTGATACAAAAACGTTCCTGAATTTCCTACATTCATTACTAGCCTGCCCGAGGAGACTATTTGGTAGTCTTTCAAAGAGAGTAATGTTACTAGAGGGAATGCAGGCTTTGACTTAATCAGAGTTCTACTGGGATCTCAAATTGAACTTCCAATTTAGCTGTCAGAATGCTTTTGGCACCGGCGGGTGTGTGTGTGTGAGAGAGAGAGAGAGAGAGAGGGAGAGAGAGAGATTTACTTAAGTAGTCCAAATAAAGAACTGGTACAGACCCTTCCCAGAAATAGATGCACATAAAGAACTAGATATATTACATCAGTGAAGTTTTACAGTGTCCCAGTAAACTAAAATAAATCACAGGTTGGATACAACACATCTAAATAAAAGCTAATTATGTTGCCAAGTATCATCACGATTCACTAACATTACATAACTGACCACATTGTTAGCTTGAGAGGTATCTAATCTACTGCCACCCTCCCCAAGGAGAGAAGGTGCTAATATAAAAAATTTGAATTGATATGTAAACATATATCAGATTGTATTTAAATATTGTTATCATCAATGGAGTTGCTAATTAGCTAGTCGTATGAATAGAATGCAAACATAGTCATTGGCAAGCACCTATAGGATCAATATTCTTGTTGTTTGGCAATTCATTCTCTAGTTATAGATATGGATTACCCTAATTAGTAATGCTAGTGACAGTCACGACTATCAGTCATGTGGGAACCACCACATCTATGTGGGGACCACTTCATTCAATCGCCAAAATTGTCACGCTTGTCGCTAGAATCTCTCTTCTTGTTTGGGAACACCGAATCGGGCTACACTTTTTGCGTGTGAAACTGGAATCTCAAACAATATTTGGTATTGAAACCTGTAAGAGAAGTTGATTTTCTTCATAAGGAACATATCAATAATAGTTGTACAGAGAAATGATTTCCCTTCACTTTTTTACAGAGTCAATACCCCCAACATTTTGAGTAGGCATATCTAAGTGAATTGCCAATGGGAACATCCAATTCTCTAACAAAGCAACTTTTTAAAATATATTAATTCCAAATTATACATTGATTTATGTCATTATGAAATATGTATTTAAGTCAATTTTTTCATAAATGTTGTGACAACCCGGATTTTTAGGATTTTAATTTATTTCATGATTCGTAGTTGTTAAGATTGGGTATGTAATTTTAATTGGAGACTTACCCAATTGGAGATTTTGGGTTATTAATATTTTGTTTTTTAGTGTTAATTTTAGTAAATTAATTTTATTTAATCATTTATTTATTAAGTTAGTGGAGTTTTGTACAGGATTATTGGAATCAAATGGTGATGCTGTAGCCGAAATAGGAAGAGGAAAGAGAAGTGGTAATGGTGGGCGGGTCTCACCAAAATGATGTTTAATGGTTAGTTGATTTTGTTACATATATATATATATATATATATATATATATATATATATATATGTAATTTGTTGGTGATGAGGGCTGCCAACAGAGATAGAGAGAAAGAAAAGAAGAAAGGAAATGGTGTGTTTGGCGGGTCCCATGGGTTGAATTGTTGGGCCAAATTCATTGTGCATGTGGGTTTATATTGTGATAATGCTTTCCGATAGAAATATTAAGATAGAAAGAAATGATATATATATATATATATATATATATATATATAATTTGTTGGTGATGAGGGCTGCCAACAGAGATAGAGAGAAAGAAAAGAAGAAAGGAAATGGTGTGTTTAGCGGGTCCCATGGGTTGAATTGTTGGGCCAAATTCATTGTGCATGTGGGTTTATATTGTGATAATGCTTTCTGATAGAAATATTAAGAGAGAAAGAAATGATGAAAAAAAAAAAAAAAAAAAAAAACAAGAATGAAATGACGAGGAGCAGGTGGGCTGGCCGAGATGTAACGTAAAAAAAAAGGTGGCGGGGCCCACTAACTGATTCGTTCGGCCAAAAATTTGTGGGCTTCACGTTGGTTTGGTCTGATGTATAGGAATGAGATATTTTTGAAGTTTGTTTGGTGAGCAGTTGGTGGGCTTGTGTCCGTGGAATGCATTTGCCTATATATTTGAGTATTGAGGGTCACTAAGTTAGTATATAGAGAAGGAAAAAAAAAATAAAGGAAAGTTGAGAGACAATGAGCCGAGAGCGAAGACACTGAGATTTTGAGGATAGAGAGGGAGCCGAGAGTTGCAGAGGAGGCCGGAGCTTGAGGCTTTGATGATCTAGTAAAGAAATTATTTTTCAGTGTAGGGTTCTCTATACCTTGAATGGCTTGGGGTGATTTTGCTTCAATAATTTTGATTAAATGTTTTAATTAAATGCATATGTATTTTGCATATAAACTCACATGACTATGTATATTTTGTGAAGTTGTTTTATTAAACCTTCATGAAATTCTTGTTATGGTTTTTCCTACTGGGACTTTCAGTCTCACCACCCTCCAGTTTCAGGTATCGAAGATGAACGGGGATTGCTAGATTCGGGCTTAGCCTGAAGAGTTGGCGTTGCGAGATTTAAATTTTTTTCTATTTGGAGAATTTTTGTGTATATTTGAGGAAATTGATTTTGTATAAAAGAGGGTATTTTTTTTACGATCCTAGTATATTTTGATGTATTTTGAGTTGAATAAATTGAGGATTTTATTGGAATTTTCGGGTCTTAATGAAATGGTATCATGGCATTTTGTTAGCATTTTCGAGGCGTGACAAATGCACATGTTATAATATCAAAAGACAGTGAGATTTAATATTGTTCAGTGTGATTCAATACTGTTCAGTGTAATCCAATACTGCTAGTGTATAATCCAATTCAGTCATGTGAGTTACAAACAAATGCAATATTGGAGGTCTCTTCTGACCCAACAAAAATATGTAATTGTCAGTTGTCCAAAACGCAAACTCTTTTTTGAAATATTTTGTTATGGGCTAGAAAGACACGAGTTGGGCCAAAAAGACACCTGAAAAATAAGCCACTACATGGGCCCATCCAACTATTTTAGGTCCCATCAAAAATAATGTGGGAGTCTTAACAAAAAGAAAGATTGGCCCAAAATTTCAATTCTTGCATGGAGAATCAAAATTTGGTACTTGATTTGGGTGGGGTGCGCCAGGCCAAGACAATAGTGCAACACCAAGGCGAAGCTCGAGTGCCCCAGCAGCAAGCTACTATGATGGGCACTCCCCCTCAAAAAATAAATTTAATATCGTGTGGGCCATTGGCCCTGGCCCACGTATCAGATATTAAACTGATAAGAACAGATACTACATTTGATCTTAGCCAAAAGGCCGAGAAATGTATGCTTTGAATAAATCTGGGCCTCCTTTTTTATAATAACCTACTCTCCCACTCTTCTTATTCATAACCAATGTGTGACAAAAGAGTAGAATCAACAATTAGTTTATTTGCGTCAAGCTTTTGAGGGGCTCATTCAACACCAAATCAAAGATAGGCAAAAGAGAAATAAGTGACTTGAAACCATAGATTCAACAATAATCTAGAGGGAATGAAGGTTTGACTTAATCAGAGATCTACTAAGGTTTCAATTTAAACTTCCAATTTAGCTGTTAGAATGCTTTTGGCCCGATGCGTGTGTGTGAGATATATACTTCAATAGTCCAAATAAAGAAGTGATAAAAAATGTCCCTGAATTTCCTACATTCCCAGTACGGATAAATTTACTAGCCTGAAATGCCTTATGAAACTATTTGGTAGTCTTGGCATATCTAAGTGAATTGCCAATTGGAACATCCAATTTTCAGCCATTTAGCCATCTCTAACAAAACACCATTTTGAATATATTTATTCTAAATTATACATTGATTTTTGTTATCATAAAAAATGTATTTAAGTTAATTTTTTCACAAATGCAAATATTACGATTATACAATGGACAATGCTTACCTACTCACCCGTCAGAGTCTAATGTGATCTAATAACAAATATACACAAAAAAAAACATACTTCTATATCAAAAAAGTGCATTCATAAAAATATGTGAAAAAAGAAGGGATATTGGACAGCTCTAAAAGCCTTTTCTACCTAAAATTTTAAAAAGTGTTTTTTGTGCGACAAACAAATAAGAAATCAAAACAATCTGAATCAACTTAACTCGAAAAATTGGCAAATTTTATTTATAAGATGTGATTCAATAACAAATGCACGTATAATCCAATCTCTAAAATTGGCAAATTTTATTTATAAGATGTAATTCAATAACAAATGCACGTATAATTCAATCAGAGATGTAGTTCAAAAACAAATACACATAATCCAATCACAAATACAAACTTATATTTACCCATGTATCACAAATACGCATTGTCTAAAGTAATTTTTTTGTTATGGGGGCGAAAAGACACTTTATTTGGGTCAAATCTTTTGATTGTAGGCCTTTATTACAGGGTATATCAATTTAGTCCATTGTTGGCGGAACCATCCTAAATGTAAGTAAACTCAGGCCCATGGTTGCAAGCCTTGCAAAAAGAGAGAGGGAGAAAAATAAATAAATAAATAAATAAATTGGTACTAGATTTGGGTGGAGTAAGCCAGGCCAAGGCAACGCTCAAGAGCCCCAGCAGCAAGCCACTGTGATGGACCCTTCCCTTCAAAAAATAAATTTAATATCGTGTGGGCCATTGACCCACGTATTAAATATTACACTAATAAGAACAGATATTACACTTGATATTAGCCAAAAGACCAAGAAAGGTATGCTTTGAACAATACTGGGCCTCCTGTTTTAGAATCACCTACTCTCTCCACTCTTCTTCCTCACAACCGATGTGGGACAAAATAGTAGAACCTACAAATAAACTTGCATAATGTATTTTGTACTTGGGTCTCACTATTTTTGTACTTATTGCATAACAATGCTGAGCTTATTTTGTTGTTTTTGTACTTGGGTCTCACTATTTTTGTAAAACTAAGCATAATGTATTTTGTACGACGACTTATGGACTTTTAATATTATAATTATACCTATGGACTGTAACTTTTATATAAGCTGTCTAAATGTTGTAGAGCATGGACATTTAATATTAATCTTGTATTTTGGGATTGTAATTATAATACCTGGATGATATACTTTGTGGTTGTATCACCATGAAATGTATTAGATATTTATTGTGTTGGAACGGGTTAAAAATGCATTTAAATAGGTTGTTGTAGGACGATTTTTAGCGGAGGACATACCGATTTTTTTTTATTTTATAAATGGTATCAGTTTAGGGTCGTTACAAATTCATATTAAGATTTTCCACAATGTAGTCCAGTGGTAGGTCCTGAAATTATTAAGATGATAGAAAGTTTGAGGGTTTAAAGTCATCATATGAAAATTAAGAAAAGAAAATGTATTTTCAGTGTTTTTCTTATCCCGCCATTTATGGCTCTGTATTGGTCACATTGACTACAGACCACTGTCAATGTTTAAGCAATTTCTTACGTCGCTAAAAGTTGGACCACAAATAATTAAAAAGGGTGTGAACCACCAAAGTAATGAGAAATGCTTCCATCACTTCTTTGAAAGTAATGGAAAATGTAGTGTTTAGAACCATCAAAAGCTCATACTCTTATTATTACCTTATTAAAGTTTTATATCTTTTATTTATATATGAAAATTTCTTTAGCAAAGATGAGTTTTTAAAATTTCTAATCTTCAATCTGCATAAGTTTTATATAAATATCTTTAGCAAAGATGAGTTTTTGATGATATTTAACAATAGTGTTACGAGATGTTGCATTCTCAATTTAATTGCATAAAAAAATACAGTAAAATTCATCTTTGCTAAAGATATTCCAGTAAACCAACCTTTCTTCCTCCACTCGAATCTCAAAACCAAGACGACACTTCTTGGTCGTCGTTGAACTGTGAGAGGAATGGCAGCGAATATCTGCCTTTAGGCTGTGGACTTTGCCCCCCTCCCTTAAAGAAGTTGATACGGTTTTCATATCGAAGTTTTTCTTTGCAAGAAAAATGCAGATTGGAGACTTGGAGTTCACTTGCAAGTTAAGTTGTGTGAGAGATTGGATTGATCATGTTGAAAAAGGAATGCAATGAAAGAGCAGAGACTACAAACTAATGTTTGGCACATTTTATCAGGATTTCTAGGATCCAAAGTTTTTGAAGATACTAATCAACTCCTCTTTACCACTTTTTTCAGAGGAAGGTGAAAATCATTTGGGGAAAGGGGTAAAAAAGATGTTCAATGCATTTCTATACCTGTGTAAAAGCTGGCTACTTGGCCTAACCAAGGCTAGTAAAAACATATTTTCTTTCTTTTGTTGGGAAGGGACAAATTTTTTTGTATTTGAATGGTCTTGTTTACTGAGATCAAAGCAAAATTTGAATTGATGTGTAAACATATATCAGATTGTGTTTAAAATTTTAAATATTGTCATCACCAATGGAGTTGCTAATAGGCTAGTCATATGAATAGTATGCAAACATAGTCACTGGCAGGCACCTACAAGATCAATATTCTTGTTGTCTGGCAATTCATTCTCCAGTTACAGATATGGATTACCCTGATGAGTAATGCTAGTGACAGTCGTGACTATTAGCCATGTGAGGACCACGCTTGTCGCTAGCATCCCTCCCCGAATACCAAAATTGCCAGGCTTATCGCTAGCATCCCACTTCTTGTTTTTGGAACACTAAATCGGGCTACATTTTTTGCCTGTGAAACTGAAATCTCAAATAACATTTGATATTGAAACCTGTAAAAGAAGTTGATTTTCTTCAGAAGGAATGTCAATAATAGTTGTACAAAGAAATGATATCCCTTCACTTTTTTGCAGAGTTAATACCCCCAACATTTTGCATAGGCATATCTAAGTGAATTGCCAATGAGAACAAGCATCCAATTTTCAGCCATTTAACCTATTCTAACAAAGCACCTTTTTAAATATATTTATTCTAAATTATAAATTGATTTCTGTCATCATGAAATATGTATTTAAGTCAATTTTTTGTGCATACAAAAACTATACTTAACTCTCACCGTTCACAAATATCCTTCCAACACACCCATCACCTCTAATCACAAATACACAACACTACTTGACAAAAACGTTAACTCTTAGGGTATTTTTTGTTATGGGCCAGAAACACTCGTCCTTTTGGGTTTGGGCGTAAAAGAACCATAAATTATGGGCTTTTCCAAACTATTTAAGATCCTAACAAACAATTTTGGGAGTGCGTTTGTTGGTGGTGAAACCTTCTAACAAAAGGAGAGAGGAGCCCAAAATTTTGGTACTTGATTTGGGTGGGGTGCGCCAGGACGAGGCAATAGTGCAACGCCAAGGCGACGCTCGAGAGCCTCAGCAGCAAGCTACTGTGGTGGGCCCTCCACCTCAAAAAATAAATTTAATATCGAGTGGGCCATTGGCCAACGTATCAGATATTAAACTGATAAGAACATATATTACACTTGATCTTAGCCAAAAGGCCGAGAAATGTATGCTTTGAATATTGCTGGGCCTCCTTTTTTTATAATGAGCTACTCTCTCACTCTTCTTATTCAAAACCAATGTAGGACAAAAGAGTAGAATCTGCACAAACCCATAGTTATTTGTCAAAGTTTCAATTATTCAATGGCTAGAATTAGACAAGGATATATAGCTCCGAGATGTAAAACAAATTTTTTTTTATTTGCGTCAAGCTTTTGAGGGGCTCATTCAACACCAAATCAAAGCTAGGCAAACGAGAAATAAGTGACTTGAAACCATAGATTCAGCAATAATCTAGAGGGAATGAATGTTTGACTTAATCAAAGATCTACTAAGGTTTCAATTTGAACTTCCAAATTAGCTGTCAGAATGCTTCTGGCCCGATGTGTGTGTGTGAGATATGTATATATACTTCAATAGTCCAAATAAAGAAGAGATAAAAAAAAAGTCCCTGAATTTCCTACATTCCTGGTATGGTAGTCTTTCAAAGAGAATAATGCTAGTGACCGTCGTGCCTATTAGCCATGTGGAGACCACCTCTCTTGTCGCTAGCATCTCTCTTCTTGTTTGGGAGCACTGAATCGGCGGGTTACATTTTTTTTGCCTGTGAAACTGAAATCTCAAACAACACTTGGTATATAAACTTGTAAGAGAAGTTGATTTTCTTCAGAAGGAACATGTCAATAGTTCTCAAAGAAATGATTTCCCTTCACTTTTTTTGCAGTCAATACCCCAACATTTTGCATTGAATTGCCAATTGGCATATCTAAGTGAATTGGAAAATCCAATTTTCAGCCATTTTGCCTTCTCTAACAAAACACCATTTTGAATATATTTATTCTAAATTATACATTGATTTCTGTTATCATAAAATATGTATTTAAGTCAATTTTTTCACAAATGCAGATATTACGATTATGCAAAGAACAATACTTACTTACTCACCCGTCAGAGTCTAATGTGATTTAATAACAAATATACACTAAAAAAACGTACTTCAATATCTTTGAAAAAAGAAGGGATATTGCACAAAAATTTTAAAAGTTTTTTTGTGCGTATAATGTGGTTCGATAAGAAATACACATATAATCCAATCCAATCACAAATACATGTATACACACTTGTCCAATGTATGTTTTTTTGTTATAGGCTGAAAAAACACTTTTTTGGGTTATACAAGCCCTTCTGGGTTAACAGGCCTAAAAGGGGACATATCAATATAGTTCATTGTTGGTGGGCTCATCGTTAATGTAAGTAAAACTCTGCAAAGAGTTTCAAGCCTTGAAAAGAGAATAAAATTTTGGTACTAAATTTGGGTGGGGTGTGCCAGGCCAAGGTAATAGTGCAACACCAAGGCGACGCTCAAGAGCCCCAGCAGTAAGCTACTGTGATGGACTCTCCCCCTCAAAAAATAAATTTAATATCGTGTGAGCCATTGGCCCACGTATCAGATATTAAACTGATAAGAACAGATACTACACTTGATCTTAGCCAAAAGGCCGAGAAAGGTATGCTTTGAACATAATTGGGCCTCCTCTTTTATAATCACCTACTCTCTCCACTCTTCTTCCCATAACCGATGTGGGACAAAACAGTAGAATCTACACGTGTTGTCCTTTACGAAATAAACTTGCCCAGCTCTTGAGTTCTGTTTGGGTATGTGCTCTTGATATTTTTTGAGCACTTTTTTAGTTGAAACTTGAAACCCAATTGAAAGATTTGCTTTTAGAAGTTACATGTTTGGTGGAGAGTTCAAACAGGAAGAGAAAACAAGGAGGCGGAGAACTGGTATGTTCTTTATTGCAGAAAAATAGGTCCATAGTATTCGTTCAATTATTCAATGACCAGAATTAAACAAGGATATATAGCTCGGAAACGTAGAATAAAAATTCGTTTATTTGCACCAAGCTTTCCAGGGGCTCATTCAAGACTTGCTCCAAGTATTAGCTTTGGTTTTCGCCGGGGTAGAGATAGGCAAAAGGAAACCTTGCTGAAACATCTAGCTTGCTTTCCTGTTGCTGACAAACAGTAGATTGTTTGCCATCCCCATTAACAACATTTTCTGAACCAACTTTATCCTCCCCTTTCTGAATGCCATCATATATTTGTGACGGCTCAACATCGCCGTAAGTGTTGTTCAACCTTTGCCGGGTAACAATCGACGAAAGAAGCTGATACCATCTTGAAATAGCTTGCCTCTCGATTCTCTTCTTTTCTTCAGCCTCTCTTCTCTCTTCTTCTTCTGCATATGCCTAAAGAACAAGT